GTGTGAGTATAGATATAGAAATAAGTAGTATATAAATTTAATATATTATCGATAAGACAATAAAACTTTTGTGAGAAGAGCAGAGGAAGTGTATTTAACAACAGATTGAGATAATCGATGAAAATGGAATTGTTTTGTTTAATAATTTAGTATCCATAATAATACTCGAGTCATTTAATATTTTATGAATGATATGAATTACAGGCATATCCTTTGTGCGATAAATTAAGGGACAAATAAAGATTCATAAATTTGTTAAAATATTTATGAAATAACAAAATGATACATATATAAATAAAACCTGGCATTTTATTCCACCAAAATGCTCATTGGATTTACAATCAATGTAACAATGAACATCACAACTTTTAATACAAATTTATCAAATAATTTTGTAAAATGATTAGTCCATGCACGAAACTAAATACCATACAAGACATAATTAAAGCGCTTCAAATCAACAAATTATACCATCAAACATAACAAGAAAGCATACAAGCAACAAAAATTAGTTAAAAATAAATATAGATGCAAATTTAACTTTCAACCATTCTAGAATATTAAATCAATCATTCATGCAAAATTAATTTACCTCTGAGAAGTAAACTTAAATTATAAGGAAACTTTATAAATTCATGCAAACAAAAAGCAGGAAACAATAACAAGCAAACAAAAAACATATCCTACCATGTTGATCCTGCTTTAGAATCTCCAAGCCTTATTTTTTCAGTTATCAAAACTCTGGCTAGTAACTCATCCTTAAGTCGTGATACATTCAAGCCTGCCCAAATCCAAGTCCAAGGATGACCAATCTGTCATTTCAGATTTCTTCATAAAAAACAGTATAACCTGAAGATATGTTACTTAAAATGAACATAAATCTTTGCAATGAGTTCCCGCCAAAATTAGTGCCGTTCCTCCCGCTATTCCACGTAATACCAGGGGCCCCACACTGATGTTTTATTACTTTTACTTACTTTTATCCTTCATGATCGGCTTGTTAGCCGCTTGGACTTACATTTTTCTGTGCTTATAATTGCACCGCACAAACTTATTCATCTGTACAGTCAGTAGTTATTAGTCTTGATGTGAATGGTACAAATGTTAGATAAGTTATCCGAGTTTTTTTGTAAAATATCTGACCATTGTTGTAAATTGTGACTATAAAGGCTCTTATAAGGATTTATAAGTTCCATGTCCCTCAACTACGAGAACAAATAATTTACTGACGATGCCATAGTCGCTCAATGCTAAATATATTGGAGTGCCCATGAAGGAGAACCAGTGAATGAATTTAATACGAGAATGAACCTGCTAATATACAGTATATAACTTTCAGCCATTTACCTTTCTAATTAATATAGGTGGGTCCTTTTGGGATGGTTTGGGACCAAGATGGCATCAATAGGTGGTATTGGCTGGTGGATTTGACGTGACAAACAGGGAGACTGAAGTGACGATGATAAGGTGGTCGAGTTTTGGCGGCAGCGGCTGAGGGAGCTGATGCATTGTGGGACATATGACGTCACTGAAAACGCCTATCGTGGCATTCTTTTAAATAGTTTTATATCTACCAACCAAAGTGACCTATTTTGGTTATGCATTAGTTATGGCAAGGTAATATAAATCATTGGATAATAAAATATGATATAAATAAATAGACAGTATTTCCTATACCCACCAGTAAAGATATACAAGAGGAATCAATATATAAATATAAGTATATTTCACAAGAATAAATTCAATTAATTCAATTAATTTGCTTAGAAAGAAAAGTTTTGTTAAAAATACGCAAATTACATATATATTTTCTCAACAAACAAAAGTATTATTTAACTTTAATAGCCAACGCTGTTTACACGGATAACACCGTTCTAGAGACATATTTATTCTTACTCCTCAAAACCACTTTTATCTAGATATTAAAACAAATAATATGTATAACCAGACCTCATAGGAATATTTATTCGCATTCTTATTATATTTTAGAAGTATATTTAAATCTATATAGAAGTTAAGTCAGTGGAGCTAGTAATAAGACACCATTAATTGTAGTTAGTTAAAGTTAAAGGGATGACCCAGGCAGCTGCTAGTAAGCAATGGACGCGCATCCTTACCGTCCTGAGGGCCGTAAATAGCGTATCACTTTTTAATTGTCAGAATTAGTGTATATCTACGCACGGAAACACTCCATTGCTATGTGAATGTAAGTAATATGGACTTGTTCTTTCCGTTGATATATATATTTAGTGTATTATATCAGTAGTTGCTTGTAACAGAAGATGTGAATGCCAAAAACGTGAAGTGTAGGCTTGTCTTCATTATGAGTTTGGCATCAGCAGTTTAGCTGTCGAAATGTAACCCTAGAAAGTTATATCACGGTGGTGACAGAAGTAGAGTTATGAAGTAGTTAGATTAAACTGTTGTGAATTATAGTGTGGAGGAGGAGTAGTTAAGGATAAATTTTATGGTCTTTGGAGTCTATAGTGACACCCCGAGTAGGATAGCTGTGCCTGCCTTACCATTGATTACATAATATAACAACTTTTCTTGCAGGCTCATCACGAGAGCATGCATTATATTACTCCAACTTTTAGGTTTATTACAGGTAAATTGAAACATTGTGTACAATTCAGGATTAATGTTTTGCCAGTTAAGAAAAAATTTTGAATTTACATCACAGATTTTACTGTACTGTACTTAGGAGCAATTTTATATATATATATATATATATATATATATATATATATATATATATATATATATATATATATATATATATATATATATATATTGATTTGGTTTAAGAAAAAGTAGATTTACTGACAGGAGGTTTATATTATGGTATAAATTCATCTCCTTACAATGGAAGTTTTATTAATGAAAGCAGCATTGTTTTTCCACAGTGTAGGAGAAATTTACTTGAATATGGACCAAACTAAACAAATTAAGGTATAATTAACTTAGCTGTATACCGCCTATTTCTTAATTTATGATAATGATATATGTGTGTGTGTGCAGTATTGGACTAATGTAAGGTGCTCCTTTCACTTTGTAGAATTACTGGTAAGTTCAAGCGCAGATTATTCATCCTATTAAGTGTAATTTGGGATCACCTTAAGTTTCTCCACCCCAGTTTATTTCACCTAAAGATTAACCACCCTGTTAACCTAACCTAACCAGTATTATTTTACTTTCAGACAACACAACAATCTTAGGAATTTTATCTCAGCAATTAATAGTTTACACAGTTCTACGACGTTTCCCTTGCAAATGACTTATATATGTTGGGGGTCCAGAGGGTGGAGCCCCCCCTGTTAGGAGGTTAGGTTAGGTAATTTTTAGGTCATTTGCGAGGGAAACATCAAAGAAGAAAAGTGTTTTAGAATTGTCTAAACTATTGATTACAAAGATAAAATTCCTAAGATACCCATTGTGTCCAAAAGTAAAACATTACCACCCAACCTAACCTAACTTAACCTCATCCCCCCAAATAGTTCTAGAGTGGTTAATATTTATGTGAAATTAGATTATGGCCTCTGCATCTTTGTCACTTTAGTTAATTGATGAAAATCACTTCTGAACAATGTCTGATTTTAGAAATGAACCAGTGAACAATTATACGTGTACAGTACAGTACTTATTGGTTCGTTCTCAAAATCAGACTTTGTTTGGAAACCAGGCTGGAATCGTGATAGGGATATAAAGGAGATAGCAGGGAAGAATGTGTCTTACAGCATAGCTGGCTTGTTGTGACTTACTTTACTTTTATCCTCTTCACCACTGATCGGCTTGTTAGCCGCTTGGCATCGGTCACGTCTCTGTTACACACTGGCAAGTACTGGGCATGCACTGGCTCCTGAATGTATCTGAACCTGCTCCAGTGTTGGTCAAGTCTGGTTTTGAAAGAGCTCACACTCGATGCCGTCACAACACTCATAGGCAGAGTGTTCCAAGAGTTCACAACTCTCACTCTGAAAAAGTTACCCCTCACAGTTTTCTGGACTTGCGGCCTCTTCAACCTTGAGCTGCGACCCCTTGTGGGGCGAGCATCCGCCAGCTCCAGGTATGTACACTCGACTGAGTAGTGCCTTTTGAGATGTTTATACACCTCAATTAATACCCCTTGCCCATCTGTAGTATAAGCTAGGCATTTGCAGGCGCTCTAATATCTTGGGGTAGCTGAGGTGCCGGCGCGTGGTACCTGCCTCCCTCTGACATATTCAGTCTCAATTCATGTAGTTTCTTCGTCCCATTGGAACATATGATACGCCTCTTTATCATTGGTATTACCCCAGGTGCAGCCACTTACACTTTGTGACATTGAATCTTAGCAGCCATTTTTTTCGACCTTTCTTGAAGCTCACAGAGATCCTTCTGCATCTCTTCACAGTCTGTTTGGTTCTTGATTTCCTTAAATAACTTGGCATCATCTGCAAACATTTGTTTGGAGGAATGTACAGCTTTCGGCATGTCATTTATGAAACAAACAAACAACAGCTGTGGCTTAAAAGGATAAGGGGAAGGAAGGAGATGTTTGTTCCAAGAAGGAGGGTATAAAAATTGAAGGAAGCCTTTTATGCTTAGTAGAAAAGAGTGGAACTGGCCAGCTACAGTGTAAAGGTTAGTGTAGTAAGATGCTGGGCTAAATTAATAGTGTTAAGTGGAACTGATTAGGTGTATGGCTGGATGACGAGCCCAGCCAGGTGTGATGGTGGAATGATGAAGTGAACAGTGATAAAGGAGAATAGATTGTATAAGTTCTGGAAGATGGGTGATAACAAGAAGGAATACTACTGTACCTGGAAGCCAAGTTCAGGGCCAGGTGAGAATTTTCATTTCTCGTTAATCTTTCAGTCCTCTCCATCATCTCACCACAAAACCTGGCTGTACATTCTATATATATATATATATATATATATATATATATATATATATATATATATATATATATATATATATATATATATATATATATATATATATATATATATATATATATATATATATATATATATATATATATATATATATATATATATATATATATATATATATATATATATATATATATATATATATATGCAAGTAAATCACGTGAGGTGCTCGTTATCCAAGTATATGCTGATAACCACAAGGAAACAAGAAAACACGAAGTTCCCAAGCACTTTCGTGTACCTAATTCACATCTTCAGGGGTGAGTACAGACTAAAGAGAAATACTTGAGAAGGCTAATATATACAGTAGAGGAGAGTGAGATCAAGTCCCTAGGGGACAGCAGGGGTCCACAATGTTCCAGTCATAAGGCAGTGACCCTTACTAATCTTCTTAATCCAAAGAAATTGACCATACCATCTCTAAGCATAGCAGCTGTCCGTAGTCAGGTCATAGGGTAAGATGACCCAACCTTCTCACCTGGTTACAAATCTTCCTAATCACAAAATTATCCAGTTTGTACATACTGTACCATTACAGTACTCAAATTCATGTTGACAGATTCGGTATGTTTAATGAGACTGGATTCTATAATGTTCCTACTGACAATTGAATTACAAGGCAATATTGAGGAGGCATTATCCCAGTCAATGCAATGCTTATTATCTCTCATATGAATGAACAAGCCATTGGATTCTTGGCCTGTCCTAACACTATATTTATGCTGTTTAAGTCTAGTTATAAGATCTTTACCCATCTGGCCTAAGTAGAACATATTACATTCCTTGCAAGGAACCTTGTAAATGCAGCCGCCTGCATTGTTGGGGGAGTTCTTAATTAACATTTGTTTTACAGTGCATGAGTTTTTAAATGCCACATTAACGTTCCAGATTTTCAGTTGTATAGGAATTTGAGAGAAATTTTTTGTTAAATGGTAATACTAAGAGATTCTTGTCATGGGTGGGCTGAGGATCAGTTCTATAAAATGATTTCTTAGTAATGTTAAGGCATTTGTCTATAAAAGACCTAGGGTACTTAAGTTTCAAGCCAATATTATAGATATATTTATATTCCTCATCAATGAATTCCGGACTGCATATTCTTAGAGCACGTAAAAACATTGATGAAAATTCTCACTGTTTGACTATTATGGTGGGTGGAATAATAATGAATGTATGAACACACATTAGTAGGTTTCCTTTAAATACTGAACTTAAAGGTGTTCCCCCCCCCAGTCGTGGGGATAAATCGCGAAAGCAAAATAAACTTTTCCAAAAATAATATAAAAAAAATGGCGGGAAAATATGCGGTCGTTCTGGAACGTCACCCGGGGCCTAAGGGTTAAAAAGTAATACTGTAAATACATTTTCTCTCTACAGGACATCATAAATGCTTAGATAACCTGAGCAGATTTATGTGATTTTTACTGCAGTGGATTAAGCCATTTATGAAAGCAAACAAGAAGCAGCAGCTACACTTAACCTGATAACTTAGGGCAGCCTGGTTTAATTAGGTTAGTATTGGTTTGGATGGTATGGTACATGTCATCATCTTTCATATAGAATTAACCATTTAGTTCACACTTGTTTTATCCTCGCTTCTCGACCCAGTGAAACATGGAAAATAATTCCTTCATATAAATGCGTTAGTATCATTTTGAGATTTATTGATCAGGCAGTGCATGTAGTCCATTGTGTGAGTTAGCTGGTCATGTTAGCTGAAGCTGTTTTATCTGGAGTGATTTTTATTTTTTCTCTTAAATGCCAAGTTGTTTTAAATGAAAATGCATCTCTTAAGGAACCAGATCTCAATGTTTAAGTTTATACAACATGATAGTCCTGTTATTATTTAATCAATTTTAATTCCAGGCATCAGGTCATGTTCCCAGGTCAAGCAAAAAGTCGCTAAAACTCCAACGACTTTGAAGGAAATTCCAGACCTTACTCTGGAACAGGAGAGAGAGGGTCTTCACACTTAAACCACCACCATGGACAGATCAAATGGCATGATGACCAGAGGGAGAGGTGGGAGAGGAGGCTTTAGAGGAGGCTTCAGAGGTGGCAGAGGCGGGACATACGAAGAGAGGGGTGGCTACAAAGGCGGGAGGGGCACAACATATGATACTGGCCGAGGTGGAGGATACAGGGGAGGAAGAGGCACTAACTACAGTTCCAACAGAGGCACTAACTACAGTTCCAACAGAGGCACTAACTACAGTTCCAACAGAGGCACTAACTACAGTTCCAACAGAGGCACCAACTATAGTTCCTCCAACAGGGGCACTAACTATAGTTCCAACAGAGGCACCAACTATAGTTCCTCCAACAGAGGCACTAACTATAGTTCCTCCAACAGAGGCACTAACTATAGTTCCTCCAACAGAGGCACTAACTATAGTACAGCAGGTGCTAACTATAGTACAGCAGGCACTAGCTATAATACAGGAGGTACTGGTTATAGTGGAGGTGGTAGTGGCTACAGTGGAGGTGGCAGTGGCTATAGTGGAACAGGCAGTGGTTATAGTGACAGTGGCTACGAGGGAGGGGGAAGTAGGGGATATGGTACAGGAAGGGGAGGTAGTTATGGTGGAGGAGGCAGAGGTGGTGGTAATAACTACAGTGGTTATGGTGAAGAACAAAGAACTACTTATGGTAGCTATGGTGAAGAAAGAGGTGGTTATGGAGGGGAGAGGGAGACCAGTTACTCTGGCTATGGTTCAGAGAGGGAGACCGGGTACACCGGTTACGACTCCTCAACTAGCGGGTACGGCGGCGGTTACGGCGAAGATCGGGGTAGTACTTACCCTTATAATGAAGAGAGTAGCAGTTACACGGGCTATGGAGAAGAGAGAGGAACTGGGTATACTCCTTATGAGGAACAGAGAGATGCAGGTTATGGAGGAGGCAGAGGGACAAATTATGGTGGAGGAAGGGGACGAGGCACAAGATTTACTACAGGTAGGAGCCGTGGTCACAATGCAGTCAGGGGGAGTGCCTATAGTGGAGGCCGGGGTGGTTATGAAGACAGTAGCAGTTCATACAGGGGAAGAAAAACCTCTTTTGAAGGGACTAGAGCTGGATTCAGGGGTGGCCGTGGGAATTATGAAGGAAACGAGAGTGGTTATACGGGAGGGAGAGCTAGGGGTGTGAGGGGTACTGTTCATGGAGGGAGAGGAGGCTATGAAGGAGGAACAGGTGATTTTGAGGCAGTTACAGGGGGAATAAGAAGAGGTAGAGGCATGTATGAGAGAGGCAGAAGCAGCTCCAGGGGAGTAAGAGGAAGCTTTGATGGACTGAGGGGTCATGTTAGAGGAGGGCGAGGTGCCATTCCTGCTGGACGAGGTGGCATGATGGAATACACAAATGACTTCTCAAGAGGAAGAGGCTTTTTAAGGGGAAGATCTATGGTTAGAGGAGGTACAAATATATTAATAAGAGGAAGAGGAAGGTTACGAGGAGCAAGGGGAAATATGAGAGGTCGTGGCGGATATCAAGGAATGCCATGGATACAAGGCTATGGTTATCAAGATGGATCTATGCAGCGGGTGAGAACCAAAGATTTTTGTTTTGGAAGACATATTTTATTTTTAGTCATAAAATGTTCCTAATAAATACTGCATGTGAATCACCAGACTGTATTGTACACTACACTGGTGTAAAGAGATGTCAAGTGTTTACTAATGAATATAAAATTCATAATATATTGTACCTGTATCAATGAATTTTACAAGTTAATATTATTATTAACCATTTCAGGAACCTGTAAAGGATGGCTGTGTAATTTACCTGAATTTCCCCGGTGCCATCACTGGTCAAGGTGTTGCAGAGTTAATGGAGTTTGGGAAAACAGCAACATCAATGCACTTTGGATGGTAAGGAATGATATCTGGTGCTCAGTTTCCTTCTTTCTTAGTATATAAACTTCACTTACACTTGTAGATGAGTGTACTTGTATGTATGTGCCGTCGTGCACCTATGAACGCACATACCACACATGGAGCTATTACTTGGGTAATGTAAAGACGATTTTTATTACATGTCACATTTTTTATTATGATTACAATGTTTTTACACTACAGTAGTTGCCTAATACTGCACTTACTTGATTATGAAGTGGGATTTCAGGATAAATTCCATAATTTCTCAGATTTTTTATTTGGTATTTAATTTCATGATTTCTTTGGAATCTGAATGGCAAGGCAACAGGTTATGGGAAGGAGCGCTTCTCACTCCTGTCAGTGTCATGCGGGAATGACAGTGAATTTAATTTTCTACAGATTGATTATGGATTTTAGGATCACTCCTTATATTTGGGGGGTTTTATCTTTAATCTCTTAGCCCCCTCTAGGATTTTCCATATATAAGTAAATTGCATATCTATAGCTTAATAAGCTTTCCATAAACAAAATTAATATTTAGTTATAACTTGCTTAGTCCACTGATTGAATATTTCTTGTTAGTCATTTGTTATCCGGTTATTATCGTCTGCATCTCAGGTCCGGTTTCCTTTTAATTGCAGGAAGTGCTGTTTAACCTTTGAATCGGAAGCTAAAGCCCAAGAAATGGAAGCAAAATTAGCAGAGATGGAATTCAATGGTCAAAAACCAAACATTGACTCATCATTCCGAGAAAAGGCGTAAGTGTACTATGAAAAGCTTGTTCTGTATTTCATGTTGTACTTTTTTCTACTTCATTGTACAGTATTCACATGTGAAGAAGTAAAATCGGGTGTGGTTAGGAACAGATCAGTTGTAAAGGAGTTGAATATTAGACAATGGGAAGGTAGTAAAAGCAAGATGTTTTCTGCAGTAAGGGGGCCCTGAGTGTGATGAAAGATATCCAAATGGTGATGAAGTAATGAGGGGGGGAAGTTGTGATCATAGATAGTTGCTTTTATTGTTATAAGTGAAGAATAAATTTTATATCAGGACTGACAAAGTAAATTTATAGATAAAAGGAAGCAAAAATATGAGTGACCAGTGATAGAATAAAAGGATATGGTGATGACTTGAATTTGTATGGAAGTGATGTGGCCACAGTAATGTATTTTTTATGTTGCTCATGTTTGCCCGGTACAGTACTGTGCTTGTGATACCTATCTTTGGATCCAGTATGTTGTTGAAACTTCAAGAATAATCCTTCATATTTCTGATATTTCTTTACAGAAAGGTTTCTGAGCCAGCTAAACGGAATTCAACCAGTGATGTAGAGACTTCCCCAGCCAAAAAGAAGAAAGTAAGTCGTTGATATCTCGTTTGTACACAATACGTTTTTATGCCACACTGTAGTTTAATGGACGGTACCGGTATATAGCTTTGGCCATGCCCGTCTACTTGTATATAAATGTACATTCAACGTGTATTTATACCTGCTTAGCTACTAAAATGAGAATGGGGACATGAATATAGGATAAATTTGGTGAGAAAGTACAATACAGCATGTCTCGCTATATAGTAGATCAATCAATATCCATTTCAGACATACTGTACTTTGTTCACTAAAGATGTATCATGAGTTGTGCCCTTTATTTTTTCTTTTAATGATTTGGTTATTTTCTTCTATTAGGGATACTTCTCAATTTTCTGAGCTGTACTGTATATACAGTATGTGCCCCTTATACATTTTTTATCCATGCCATTGGGGAAAATGGCTGTAAAATGTTGTTGCTACCATTTCTTTCTTACTAATCATACACTTTCCATTCTATGTCCATACCATGTTTTGGCTTAACATTACAGTACCTGTACTGTCTTCTTTTCAGACTGAAGAAGGCAGTAATGATGATTACAGTACCTGTACTGTCTTCTTTTCAGACTGAAGAAGGTAGTAATGATCAAGGTGAGAACAAGGGTGATGAAGCAATGGATCAAGACAAAGAGAAGCCGGAAGATGTAGAGGTTACTATGGCTGAGGGAAATGGCAACGATGCTGATGGTGAGAAGGATGGAAATGATGCTAGTTGTCAAGATACTCTTGAGGAGTATGATGGTACTGAAGTAAACGATATTGAAGAATTTGATGAAGAAAAAGAAGAAATGGAAAGTGGAGATGTTGAAGTTTGTGCTGACAATATTTTATTTAAAACTTTTTCAGTTCTGTAACAAGGTTTGATGACTTGAATATAGAGATGCTAAGATGATGATTATTAGACGTAAGGATGTATGTGTTTTGCGAGGTACAACTTTTGGCGATTCCAAATGTTTTGATGTGTAATTAAGAATATCGAAATAGATAAGGTGGCAACCATTAAAAGATGTAACTTTTTTCAGCTAATGTTTTACTCAACCTTTCTTTTTGGTGAGGTGTGTGTGGGGTGTTTTTTCATAATTGCACAGGAGTCTTCCCCCCCCCCCCTTTCTCCTCTCCCCATTTTATGGGGGAGATGCATTTATGATACTGTAATGTTTATTTCATAATCATCTTAAATTTACAGTTTGTCACCTTTCATTTAGCAACTTGTGTTACACTCTTACAAAGTTTTTGGTGTAGACCGAAGGAACCTTATATTACTGGCCCTTACTGTGGACATTACCCTGAAAGGAAAAGAATCAATGGTTTTTCTCTCCTAACTTAACTTGTGGATGGAGGCCTAGTGACTACATGTGTCACGTTTGAGAATTATCCTTGGGCTGGAAAAAATTTTTTTTTAAACATTAAACTCCATTCATTAATTCATTCCTTCCTGGCAGTGACCTGTGGTAATAATAAATGTTCCAAGCTGTTGAGTTACAGTCCATCATTTATGGTCAGTCACCTTTTGTTAAACAACACTTGCAATTAGAGCCAGCTGGAAGAAGATACTGAACATTCCAAATGCTAATGTGGCTTTTGCACCATAAAGGAAAGTTATTGTTATGTTGAATAATTAGTAGTAATGTACAAGGATAACCTCATAAAAATTCCAACACCATACTGTCATCAGGCATTTTTTCAGTCCACACAACATGAACCAAACAGCCAGCTTTTCAACGGGTTAATGAAATCAAGTTTGTCTAACAATCATCTCTCCCACTGAGGTAAATCAAGGACAGCAAAGTTTAATTATACTGTACCTAATTCTGTCAACATTACTACCACTGTACAAGATGATTCTACTAGCTAAATATATCTTAAAGACTCTGTGTGTGAATGTTTATATTTTTTGTAGCTCTGTATTGTTACTTTGTAATGTACTTTTCTGTAATGCCACCTACCTATAGTGTGAGCTTCGTAACCCTTGATCCACCTAAACAATTGTAGAAGAAAAAAGAAAACATTTACTGATATTAAAAAAAAAGTTAGTTATACTGTATTTGTCTTTAATATTAACTTTAATATACGCTTTATAACATTTGTATAAAGGAGCAATAAAACATTAGCATTCAATGTACAAAAATTTATGTATTATTTTATCAAAATACAGTAACTTACTTAAGAAAATAGAGATCATTTATCATTATTGTCATCTTTGGCATCATCATCTTCATCTTCCTCACTATCATCATATTCAGCATCATCAGTGTTGTCATTATTGTCATCATCCTCACCATCATCATTGGCATTGTCATCTTCACCATCATCATTGGCATTGTCATCTTCACCATCATCATCCTCCTCATTGACATTGTAATCTTCACTATCATTATTGACATTATCAGCATCATCATCTTCAGCAACCATCACAATCTTCATATTCAGCATCCTCACCATCATCATATTCAACATCATCATCATCATCATCAGCATCCTCACCAGCATCATCTTCAGCATTGTTGTCATCACCTTTTTCAATTTCAGATGCCTACAAAAAGTATAAATGTTACAGATTGCTTTATTAAATTTTCCCGAGGGGAGAAAAAAGCAATGAAGTACCAGTAAAAGGAAAGGTAGACAAACTCCCCTAATGTCTTAAGTTATGGTACTACATGTATCCCTCGTTTAACGATTGGGATGCGTTTCCGAAAAATTTATTGTTAAGCGAAATGATTGCTAAACTAGGGATAATGAGAAATATCCTAAATGAAGGATGACGGGGACTAATATCCATGGAAAAGGCATGTAATAACCTAACCAAGTTGCCGACTTGCCACTCAAAATGTGTGGGGCCGAGCTGTGTGCTACGTTATTGTTCAACTCATAATTTCAGGTTGATATATAAGTAGTTTTCTTTTTTTCTGTTACATGCACACACAATCGTTCATACAGACTGTGAAAAAAAATAAAAGTTCAGTCTCAATATATATGTTCACCTTCCTAACCATGGTAGAATTCTTAAATGTAACCCATGTGGTTGGCAAGGGTGACTGAGATAGTATGTACTGATAAGAGTCTACTTACCTGAACTTATCTGTGAGCATTTCTAACACTCAAAGGAGTTGTACCGAAGTTCATTTCTGATGCTTTCCGTTTTGCTTCTTCAGCTTGATCTTGATTCAAAATACATACGCACAAACCTGAAAAAATTAACAGTAGTCGTTACCATAATCATAGTTACTCTTTCTTCCATTTTAGCTCAAATTTTCTTCAATAACCTAATACAAGGTATTGTGATTTCAATGAGGAATTCTAAAAAAAATGTACTTGGGCATTTGATACACTGCCATACAAAGGCAAACCATGGCTCTAGAATTAACTTGCTGAGGTAATAAAATTCCCTCTAATTCTATACAACACAGAGCAAAATTAATTGTGTTAAGTGCACCAACATCAAGGTAATGTGTGCCACCAGCAGAAAATAAGTCACTGTAAAATGTATCTGTTTTTAAGTTACCATATATATATACCCGGTATATATATATTACTCTAAAAACCATCTTTACGATTAGTGTGTATGCACTGTACTGTGATGACCATTAAAAATACTATACTGTACTGTATATGCGTACATCAGACTTTAAAAGGCAAATGTACAACAACCGTTAGTTATAACAGAATAAAACGTCAGGAAAATATATACTGTACTCCTGTATTACCATCTCGTCCTTATGCTTACCTGACGTTCACGCTGGACTCCTATTACATCACCATCTGTTCTTGCTTTGATTCCACCATCCCCTTCTTGTCTTCAGCTTCCTTGACTGAAGCCTTTCTGATCTCTTTCTTGTCGCCCTCTATAACTACATCCATATCTAATTCCACCCCAGTCTCCTCTTCCTCTAAAACTAACTCCTTAAACTACCTCTTTCTCCTCTCCCACCTCTAAACCCACCCTGGTATCCTCTTCCTCCTCTAAAACCACCTCTTTCTCCTCTAAAACTAAATCTTTCTTCTTTATAACTAACTCTTTCTCCTCTCACACTACCCAGGACTCTTATTTTACCTCTCAAAATTCTAAATATTCCTAGTTTTGGTTTAGTATCTGTAGAGACCTCTGTGGAAGAGGGTTCTTTTTATATCTTTCCATTTGCCTTTTTTTTTCACTTATTGTGAATGTTGGTGACGTTGTGTCCTCAACATTCTTCGCTGCTTCAACTGTCTTTGGTGCAAGTGATTGAAAAGAAAAGAATTATTTATTAAATTATACAGTACAGTATATCAAGTTTAACATACAGTCAACCATTTTTTATGCAGGGTTCTCTACATGGATTTGTGTAATCAGGAATTCATGTGAATATGAAACCATGAACTAAAGGAAAAATAAGAATTAAGGTCCCAGAAACACCTTTACTGCAATTTTCACTGCCAATAAATATAAATAGTAACACAAAATACTTTACTAGTTAACAGATTAAACCTTTGTGTATAGAGTCCCATCTGAGCTAAATAAAATTGCCTGGAGCCAAATAAAATATTAAAAAAGAGATCCCTGTATTGAAGGGGTTAATAATTTATTTTATTCTTCCATGATGATGACTGGTACCGGTAAATATGTACAGTGTAATACTATATGGCACTACACAACAATTCTCCTCACACTTGTTTCACTGTTTATTCTGTTCAATAGTGCATTAGAATAAACAAGAAAGTAAACCAAAACATTCATACTGTACATACAAGAAAAAAAATGGTGACAAAAGGGTAAATTCCAATTCGACATGTGCTGTTCAGTGTTGTATAGGAGGAGGAGAAAGAAGGTTGTTTTCTCACTTCAGCTGGATCATCAACTTCCCCACCCTCAGGTAAGGAGTATGAATGACAAAGTAAGTGGGAGTAAAGTCTAGGTAGGCAAGTCTTAAAGTTGTGTCAGATCAGTTACGAGAAACGGTGTAGGTCAGCAGTGCAGTGATGTAACTAGTCAAAGTCATAGATTGTTGTGCATTTTTTCTGCATTAGATTTATGTTGTCTTCCCTCATGAAAAGTCTCTTCCTAGTATTATTTATAATATTTATTGTCCCAAAACCATTCTAAAACCATGTGCTAGAAAGAAGCAAGATGATGTATCCAATGTTTATTCTAGAAATGATTCAAAGAACTTCCCATCTACTCTTACATTATATAACACTGTAGCATGCAGCCATGGTTTTGTTCAAGGAAAAAGCCCCATACTTTTAGGCCTTTCATAAGGTAAGAAAACATTTACCTTTTATAGGAAAATTTCCTCAAGTTATTGGTTAACACACCACCATCATCCATTAATGTGTTACCCCAGATTGTTTTGCAAATTTTCTTTTGCATCTATATTTCTTTAGTTTAACTTCTAGGAGAGTGTTTATATGAGGGCTAATTTCTTATTCTACCAGTCTAATTTTTTATTACAGTACAATACATGTACTGTAATTTATTTCGTTAATAGTTTATGACCTCATCCAGTTGGAAATAACAATTTTCTGAAACATTATATAGTAGAAGAAAACTGTTTCTTACCTCTCAAATATCAAAAAAACATTGGAGGAATGTAACTTTTAACTTTTGTTGTACCAATTTTTTCATCCTGGAGATGGACGTACACAGAACACCACGTCCTAACTAATTAATACAAGTACAGTACAGTATATAACATTTTACGGCAACTTAAATATCATTAGTTTAGCAATTTTGTCAAGGATGTCATTTCACACCTGTAGAACATTTCATTACAGCCATACATGTTTGTCAGTGACCAATGAATAATAAATATTGTACTGGGTATATAAGCGTTAATTTACGTTAGGTTAGGTTAAGTAATTTGGTTAGCATATATTTTTTTTAAGTTTGTATGGAAATTCATTGGGAAGTATTTGGTTGCTTAGCATTAGGATTGCTCGCAGGCAAGACAACAACAGTTTCACGACTTATGTATGGGATCCCTCTGTGCTGAATAAAATTGTCTAGTGGCATCCCAGTAGTGAAGGAGTTAACTGTAAATGCTGCACCAATAGACAGTATTTACTCAATGTAAACTTTAGAAAAACAAAAGTTGTACAGTTATAATTCAGATATCTAGACTGTCCGTCCCTCGTAACGATCTTCAAGAGTGAAGTGCTTCCCCATCTGGAGTACTGTCACCCCGTCTGGTCCCCGAGATATGCTAGGGACTGTCAGTTGGTTGAAAATGTTCAAAGGAGGGCCACCAGACTGGTGCCTGCACTTCGGCACCTCAGCTACCCCCGAGAGATTGGAGCACCTGACCTTGCCTAGCTTATACTACAGAAGGGCAAGGGGGTAACCTAATGAGGTGTATAAGCATCTCAAGGGGCACTACTCAGTCGAGTGGCGGACGCTCGCCCCACAAGGGGTCACAGCTCAAGATTGAAGAAGCTGCAAATCCAGAAAACTGTGAGGGCAAACTTTTTCGGAGTGAGATTTGTGAACTCTTGGAACAATATACCAGAAAGTGTTGTGACGGAACCGAGTGTGAACTCTTTCAAGACAAGACTTGACCAACACTGGAGCAGGTTCAGGTACATTCAGGAGCCGGTGCATGCCCAGTACTTGCCAACAGTGCATAACAGAGATGTGACCGATCGCCCAAGCGGCTAACGAGTTTATCATTTGGTGAAGAGGATAAAAGAAAAGGAAAAGTAACAGAGACGTGACCGATCGCCCAATCAACTAACAAGCCGATCAGTGATGAAGAGGATAAAAGAAAAGAAAAGACAGTAGTCTTGGCACTTGGCAACACTGATTACAACACGCGAACACTGACCACACTTACAACTTCACGTCTCACTAACATGTTGGTCTTATAGTTAACACTTGTTCATCACACAGTGATACCACCATGAAAGTAAGTCAAGTTGTAAGTTAATGGTACATCTATGCTGTACCGCCACAAGTTTTAAGATAATGTGGCCATGGAACTGTAATATAATTTTGGGAATAAATTTTAGAGATAATTTTGTACCTGGATATATATATATATATATATATATATATATATATATATATATATATATACAGTCGACCTTCGTTAAAACGGACTAATAGGGGGGGAAGGGTGTCCGTTTTAGCCGATTGTCCGAATTAACCGATTTAGGGGTTAATATTGCATTATATTTCAAAGAAAATGCAGCGAGTTTGTCCTTAGCCTTGCATATGTCCGAAACTGTTTGCTTTTTAACACCATACTGGTCACACACTCTAGCAACCGAAGCACCAACCTCTAACTTCCTAATAAGTTCCAGTTTCTGGTTCACAGAAATGGTCACATACTTCCTCTTCAGCGTATTACTCCCCCTTGAAGACATGATGTAACATACAAGGCTGAAAGATACCTAATCACTGAAATATCAACGAAAATTGCAGGGCAACACAACACTGATTCTCGAATATGGCGCTAAGTCAACAATGACTGGCGGTCTGGCGCACGCGCCATCTATCGGACAATCCCAGAACCAGAAATTTGATACGGACAGTCCCTCGCTTAGTTCAGATTTTGTCCGAATTATCCAAAATCAGGATTAAAGGGATCCGAAATAACAAGGGTCGACTGTATATATATTAGTGACTGTCAGTTGCTTAAAAATGTTCAAAGAAGGGCCTCCAGACTGGTTGCAGCACTTCAGCTACCCAGAGAGATTAGAGCGCCTGCAATTGCTTAGCTTATACTACAGATGAGCAAGGAGGGACCTAATTGTGGTGTATAAACATCTCAAAGGGCACTACTTAGTCGAGTGTCCTTACGACGGGCCCTCGCCCCACGGGGGGTTACAGCTCAAGGTTGAAGAAGCTCTAAGTCCAGAAAACTGTGAATGCTAATTTTTTCGGTGAGAGTTGTGATCTCTTGGAACAATCTGCCAGAGTGTGGTGACGGCACCGAGTGTGAGCCATTTCAAGACCCAGACTTGACCAACACTGGAGCAAGATCAGATACATTCATGAGCCAGTGCATGTCCAGTACTTGCCAACAGTGCGTAACTGATCGCCCAAGTGGCTAATGAGCCAATCAGTTGATGAAAGTAAAAAGTATAATACTGTACATTAATTGATCAAGTACCGACATAATTATTAAGACTGAAAAATCGTTTTATCCCTTTTTGTTAAATCACTTAGGTTGAAAGAATGACAAAACTCTGTAAAGAGAACATACCAGGGCAGCAAAAGAATTCCATTACAGTGGTCCCTTGTTAACGAGCACAATCTGTTCCAGCAGGTTGCTCGTTAACCAAAACCATTGTTTCAATGGGTTTTTGGGTAATTGGTTCCAGCTCACCGAAAATTGCCTAAATTCAACAAAAAAGGCAGAAAAGTACACTTACTTTGAGGTGTGTATGTAGAAGGCTCCTGGATGATGATGATGGGAATTATAATGGGGGTGGAGGAGAAGGGAGAAGAGAAGGCACCCCATGGTGCTATTTCACCCATAAAATTTTAGTTGTCTTGGTGTAATTCAAGATTATTTTCTTTAAATCAACACTGCACTGCATTATATATTGTCAATATGTAAAATAAATTTCAAAATGACCAATAATTTGCTTGGAAACACATGAAAAAAAAAGCGTTGTTTAAGTCTCAAGCAATATGTTACCTCCACTGGAAAGAGAGACTAACGCCTGTTTGTGTGTTAACAGGCTGGATGGCGCGCCCGAAACTAGCTTCCTTACCTTCAATTATGTTCAATAATTGTTAAAATTACTAAAAAAATTTAATATAAAATTTTTAAAATTATTGAATAGTATAACCTTGATATTTACTAAAATAGTAAGGAATTTAAGCCCTAAAACCGATTACTGTAATGGCGGACTAATACTACAGCTGGTGGACCGCCAAATGCAAGCGATAACATGTTGAGGTCGGCTTGTAAAAAACTCATTAATCGAGAGATTGCTCGTTAACCGAAGTTAAGAATCTTATGGAAGGTAAATCGTTAACCGAGGGATCACTGTATTGTTTTGATAGCTATCCAACACCCCCTTAGTGCCCCTACACAAAATGTTTTTTGATCTGGGACAAACTGTTCATCAGTGAAGCATTTCAAGTCTCAAAATGGGTATACAAATTTCAGACCTAGTTAAATGGTATCAACATGGTTACATGATGTGGCACGCATGTTCAAAATGAACTCGTTATCATTTTACTAGTATTGTACAAAGTAATTTTACCATACGAGTTTAATATAATAGGTTTTAGTGTATGTACAGTAGCAAAAAAAAGTGAAACAATACGAGACCACTGATGATAGGTATTGGAGTATGCTGGTCGTCTCCTTTTACAATGTGATAATAATTAGTTAACTGTTTATTTTATTCCTATATGCCAACTCACTGCGTGTTGGATACTGAATGGCGGTGGGTGAACACGCATGCCAACACAAGTTGTACGTATAAATTTTGGATGTCACAGAACCCACCATCAGATAATGTTCTTAGCTGTGTTATGCTGTAAAAATTTCAAATAGGTTTACAATTGGATAAACATGTATATAATATATGCAGTTATGCAGGGCAGCACGAATTTATAAACAGTGTACAGGTATACAGTTTCCTATATATCCAGACAATGCAGGTTTACAGCAATGGTAAACAGCAAAGCAACTTGACCAAGGATAACCAACAAAACCGTTAGATACTTATTTCCACCCATAAAATGCGATACTGTATGCTTTAAAACATTTGCGAAAAAGAGCAATAAAATAACAGGATTTAACTCGTATAAATTTATGTATCATTAGATCATAATATAAATATGCTAACAATATTCATAAATTACATGATTACTCGTCGTCATCATCATCGTCTTCATCATCGTCATCATCTTCGTCGTCATCATCACCACCACCGCCCTGATTTTGCAGTTTAAGGATATTACCATCTTCAGCATCCTCATCGTCTTCATCATCCTCATCATCATCATCATCCTCACCACCTTCGCCATCCTCATTCTCATCGTCATCCTCCTCTTCCTCCTCATCACCATCCTCCTCATCATCATCCTCCTCCTCCTCCTCCTCCACATTTTCAACTACGGCTACCTAAAAAAAAAGTCAAAGAGCCAAGTTAGTATAACATCCAGAGAAAATACAATACAGTAATTATGTTATAAAAACCATAATAGATAGGACTGAACAGCAGACCAGTTTAATAAACCTTATCCCACCACAGTATAATATACATCCATTTCTAAACATTACACTATGCCATGCACTTTTCTTTTAATTTCTTCATTAACTTACCCCCACTTTTTGTTTTTTAGATGATTTCTCAGAAACCTCATTCAGGGCCCTCTTTTCATTCTGTGATCTGAGGAAAAAAATATTGGTTAAGGTGTAAGCAATAAGTATGCTAATACATGGTTCTTTATATAAAAGATTTTACTAGAACAAAAAATGTTTTTCCTTTTACTGCAAAATAAAGTTACCATTAGAAATGGAAGAAATGTTTCACCCATAAATGGAGGCCAACATAAATAGATGTAAGCTGTAGGGAAAGCAGTCAACATCAATGGATGTTTCATGTTAAACTTTAGAATATCATCAATGTTTTATGGCAATTTTTCATGTAATAAAAAACAATGATTGCTACCAATCATTATTATACAGGTATATGGTACAGTTAAGAGTAAAAATTATGACCTGTAAAAATACTGAACATTTTAATGTAAAGTAGAGTGATTGATTGCTCTAGCAAACAGAAACCAAACACTTTACAACAATGGGGGGGTGTTTCTTGCTTTCGTTTATTTTTACCCAATGTGTTTAAAAAAGTACAAAACTGCAGTAATGTAGTAAGACAGCAGAATGATGAGGAGGGAAGTGCTATTAGATTACTCGGGTTTGCTTAGAAGGGAAAAGGAAGATACACAGTGTCCTTGATCCCCTGTCAGCAGCTTGCATCAAGAACTGTCTGGTTTTAGGCCATAGCCATAAATAAATATTCCTGTAAATATTGGAATACATACCCATGATGCTGTTTGTAGGCATTTTCAACCTTTGGTCTCTCTCCAGAGAAGTTAACTTCAGATATCTTTTGTTTTGCCGTTTCAACTTGATCTTCCGATTCAAAATATATACGAACCATTCTGTGGGGGGGAAAAGGGAGATTATGCAGTTACTTCATTATTTACTTATTCCTGCTTCCATTTTTATTAAAAGAACGAAAAAAGGAAATGCCTTGAGTTTCTAATTACCTATTTTAGGATTATTGTTGCATCTGGGAAAATAATGTACGTATACTGATTTGTTCACATTAGGCCTGGTCACTAAATTTTAAGGTCTCTTTGCTTCTGGGCTAACAGTGTAGTGAGTGTATAATAACCCACCAGACTTGTTCAATGCTTGGCCATAAAATGAGATTCTAGGATCAATTCTTCATTATTAATGCCCAAGCAAACAGTAATATGCAACAAAACTTGAGTAAAACGATACAGTAATTGATGATGTCAATACTGGGGAAAGAAATAATTAAAAAAAAAAGATAAGTTACAGAAATGTGCATGAAGAACAAACTCATAATTAGTACGGTATATACATTACAGTACGGACAGTACTTACCTTCCAAAATTGATGGAGTTTGCCTCTTTCCCAACTTCCAACACCTTCTTGGCATCGTCACCAGTAACAACTTTTGGGAACAACACGTAGAGTGAACAGGGGTCGACCTCAGGTGGACCCTGCAGGGATAAAATCAACAAATTGAAATATCTCCAATAAGCAAATACAGTACAGTAAAACCTCAATAGTTCAGACTTCAATCCCTATTAATCTTAGGAAATGTGGATCTTGTCATTTGAAAAATTTAATTACGTACATTGTATTTTAAGTACAGTATTCCACTTCAGTGCTATCACATGGTTTGTTGAGACCAGCATGATAAAACATAATATACTTTATACATGTACGAGTCATTAAAATTATATAAAGGGAACAATAACCCTGGAAAAACAAAATTACTATTACTGTACTCTTTTTCTTCAATTAATAGCAATAAAACCATTAATAACATTTAAAAAACATAAAAGATGCAATTTTTATGCTTACATGACTGCGAAATCCTCCTCTGAAACCATCATCACTGCTTCCTTGGTATCCACCCCCCCTTCCCCCTCTAAAGCCACCACCCCGGTCTCCTCTTCCTCCCCTAAAGCCACCCCGGTCTCCTCTTCCTCCTCTAAAGCCACCTCGTTCACCCCTTCCCCCCCTAAAGCCACCTCTTTCTCCCCTAAAGCCACCCCGGTCTCCTCTGAAGCCACCCCGGTCTCCTCTGAAGCCACCCCGGTCTCCTCTGAAGCCACCCCGGTCTCCTCTGAAGCCACCCCGGTCGCCTTTAAAACCACCCCGATCTCCTCTTCCTCCTCTAAAGCCACCCCGTTCTCCTCTGAAGCTACCCCGATCTCCTCCTCCTCGTCCTCTTCTTGGTGAGAAGTCTGAAAAGTTGTCATCGTAAGACACGACTTTGTCTGATTCATCTCTCCCCCTTTTCCCTTTCTTTCCTGATTTATTGTCTCCCATTTTGGTATTTTGTCTTTCTGTCTCTTGTCCAGGTGACTGAAAAGACAAAATAAAGATTAGTGTATGTTCAATCAGATCTGGAATTAATATTATAAGAACAGTATATGAACCTATATTACACGCCTCATTTACAATAAAGAACATATAGTACTTTATTTCCTTTACTGGTATACTGGAATGATATGTCTTATTTCTCATTGAGGACTTAAATAAACTGCAGGAATGGTCAGAAAAATGGCAAATGGAATTCAACACCAGCAAGTGCAGTGTATTTAATATTCGAAGAGCAAATACTGTCAATGTATACAGCATTAACAACATCAACCTAGAGAAGTCGACTTATGAGCGAGACTTAAGGGTAATTGTAAGCCCGGACCTACGGCACAGAAAACAGAGCGTTAATGTTCAAAATAAAGCAAACAGAGTATTAGGTTTTATACCTAGAAGTGTAAGTAATAAGTCAGGCTGCACCTCGATTGTACTGTTCAGTTCTGGTGCCCTTATTATAGTTTAGGTTTAGGAGGGAGATAGAAAGGAACTGGTTCACAAATAGGGTGATGGATGAGTGGAACAAGCTTAGCAACTTTGTAGTAAGTGCTGGAACGCTGGAGAGTTTTAAAAGGAGGCTAGATAGATTCATGGATGATGGAGGGTGGTAGTAGCTCTCGACAGGAGCTGCCATGCACAGGCCAACCGGCCTATTGCAGACTCCTTATTTTCTTATATAATGGATATCAATTCACCGGAGTCGGTGCAACGAAAATGATTCCGGAACTTAGAAACCTTCCATATCAAGATAGATTAAAGAAACTAAACTTGCATTCCCTAGAAAGATGAAGAGTGCGGGGAGATATGATAGTAGTATTTAAGCGAGTGAAAGGAATCAATAAAGGAGATATAGATACAGTTCTTATATATCCGAGCAGGATAGGACTTGTAGCAATGGATTAAGTTTGATAAGTTTAGGTTTAGGAGGGAGATAGGAAGGAACTGGTTCACAAATAGGGTGGTAGACGAGTCGGAACAAGCTTAGCAACTTTGTAGTAAGTGCTGGAATGCAGGAAAGTTTTAAAAGGAGGATAGATAAATTCATGGATGATAGAGAGTGGTTGTAACTCTAGACAGGAGCTGCCATGCACAGGCCAACTGGCCTATTGCAGACTCCTTATTTTCTTATGATACATAGTGAAACAAAACAACCTATTGTTTAGAGTGCAGTACGTAACTACATACATTGATAAGACTTACACTTCTCATTTCTGTAATCTAAGAATATAAACATAAGAACATAAGAAGAGGCAAGAAGACCATTGCCTCCCATACTCTCAGCACTAGCGAAATCGTAAAATCAAGCGCTCAACTAAGTCTGATTTTAGTAAGAACGAACAACTTTTCCTCTTAAGTATTTACAGTATTCAGTGGTTACAGTGCTCGCCTCCTGTTCCATGGCTCGGTGGTTTGAGCCCCGGGCATTCCCAGTTCACCCAGCTGTAAATGGTACCTAAGTTTTAAGTGTGAAAGTGAATGCAGTCAAGTGCAGTACCAGTCATGCTGCCTCCTTAAATACCGGGTAATGTATTAGGGCTTTCCTAGGTTAAGTCAGGTTTTCAGTGGTTATGGTGTTTTTTTTTTACCTTGTCGTTGCTAAAATAAGTGGTCATATCTTCGGTGAAGCGAAGAATGACAAAAATGATTCCGGGACTTAGAAACCTTCCATATCAGGATAGGCTAAAGAAACTTAACTTGCATTCCCTAGAAAGACGAAGAGTGCGGGGAGATATGATAGAAGTATTTAAGTGGGTGAAAGGAATCAATAAAGGGGATATAGATAAAGTTCTTATAATATCCGAACAGGATAGGACTCGGAGCAACGGATTAAAGTTGGATAAATTTAGGTTTAGGAGGGAGATAGGAAGAAACTGGTTCACATATAGGGTGGTGGACGAGTGGAACAAGCTTAGCAACTTTGTAGTAAGTGCGGGAACTCTGGAAAGTTTCAAAGGGAGGCTATATAGATTCATGGATGATAGAGTGGTAGTAACTCTCGACAGGAGCTGCCATGCACAGGCCAACCGGCCTATTGCAGACTCCTTATTTTCTTATGTTCTTATGTAAATATCTACCACCTACGGTATATTTATGTAAATATACATAAATAAACTATTTCACGGAATTTTCAGCAAAATCAATTTCTCGTTATGGCATGAACTGTTAGGGCTTCACGTGAAGTAAGAGAGCATTTACCTTCTACAGAAGTTTCCTCAAAGTTACTGGTTTATATGCAATCCTCTTTCACTATTACCCCGTCTTATAGAGAAAAATAGTCTAAAAATTGCTGGTTATTCTGTGCAACCAACCTAGAGCATCAAAAAGATTCTGGCAAAAAATCCATGTTAAAAGTTCCTCCTCCAAAAATGACCAATATTTTCGAAAAACTTCGTTACTTCTGATAGATTGGGGTTAGTAAAACGTTTCTAATACAGGCAGACAAAAAATAGAGCGAAATTTTCATTAATATAGGGCGAGGGTGGTAGGAGGTAATGGCCGCGTTATTTTAAAGTTACGGCGATAGTGTATTAGTGCACCTTTAACTATACTTACTCTCATGGTAGTAAAACTGTGTGAAGAACAACTATAAGACCATCACGTGTTAGCGAGACGTGAAGTAGTAAGAGTGATGAGCAACCAGAAGGACCGGTCACGTGCTGTACAGACCGCGTGTTGGAGTGGAGTGTACACAAGCAAGGCTACTCCGCCCTGTGTGTTGAGGTGCGCTTGGTGTGTTGCATTTACTATTACTTCTTTTTTACTATTGGATGGCTATATAACCCCCTCCCCTTATATATGGGATTTTTTTATGAGAGATTAATCCATTAAATCAGATATACAAGTGTTGTTTATCGATTTTGGGAGGAAGTAGCCAATATATTTTTACCCTGTAGTCCCACTTTTCTGTTGCGTTTTGTAAAAACAATAATAATATAATCTTATGGTATACTAATTTACTTGTGAAAATTAATATTTTATATACAGTGGTCTTTTTATTGTTCGGATGAATAGACTACCAGCCCTTATTTCTTCCCTATAAGATGGGCTGTAAAACGTATTTTTCTTAGTAGACGATAGATACAGTATAGATAGATAGATAGATAGATGGATATGAAATAAAATCGTCATAAAGTTTACAATATTTTTATCCTCTTCACCACTGAGTTCAGTATCTGGATATCGACTGTAACAAAACCTGTGGTAGATGGTCGATGGTTTCTCATTGTATCAACCATTCTGGGCCACACATACAAGGATATATCTCATAAATGTGTCCTCAAATATATTGCACATAAGTATATCATGATACTTGTATTTTAAATGGTTACACACACACACACGCTTGTGTATATTGTGTGCATTTTTTTATTATACATAATCAGCAATGAAAATGAACTATTACAATTTTAACAGCATGGTACATTAAGGTTTGGTGCAAATAACGCACGCGATATTGTACCGTTGGGTGCACATACCCTCGGCCTTATTATAATCATATTTACATTACATTAAAATGGAAAATATATTTAAGAACTGAGAAATAACAGAAATATAGCCTTATTGTCCACGCCACGAGGTCAATGTGCAATAGTAAGTGTTCGGTTGTGGTGTGAAGACCTAGGCGCTTAGTGAAGGTGATTTAAAAACAATAAAAAAACACTGGAAGTAAAGGAAGGGTAAATAAGAGAAACAACGCTCAAATAGAATGTCTTGGAATATAAATTTTAGGAAGAGGCTTCATGATTCTTGGCGGCGGCATGAAGCCTGAGTCGCGGCCAGTGTTGACGACGCCCATCACACCATGGTATGTATTAACTCGTATCTCGGTTTGTAATTAAAGAATGGATTTCTTAAATTAAAAACAATGTGGGAATATCTTGTTACATATATTGTTGTGATAGATAAATGTATTATTGTTGTATAGTTCAACTTAGAACTATATACATAGAGTATTTCTTCATTATGGTAACTTACTGTAATGGTTATCATATCTGGTTGACCCTTGACCGTTCCCCAGATAACAGCAAGCAGTTGACTGTAGAGTGGTGGTGTGTCGTGGGTTATCTATTTCGGTAAATTTTTACTTAAGGACAGGAGTCTCTAGGGATTGACCTTCATTTTTGTCCCCCCCCTCCCCCCCAACAATAATGGAGGAGAGCCTGGGAAATTGGGGTTTTAGGGTGGGGAGAAAACGAGTCATCTAACCTAACAAAACCTAACCTAACCCCTAGCTGGGGACTCTGTTCCTGGACCCCCGGTAGACCTAGCTTAAACTAACCTAAATGTTTCAGTAGTTAATAACTTTTGGGCGTGCTATTTCCTTGGGTAAAATTGTACCTCTATTTTTGTTAATGTAGTGGATATTTTGCTGTGACCGGCTAAGTTCCTACAAATGCTATTTTACCGTGAGTGCGTTTTGATTGACTAAGTACTTTCTGTTTAATATGGCGGTGGGGTCTGCTCCCTAGCTAGGAAGTTAGGTAAGGTTTGGTAGGTTTCTTTGGTTGGTTAGGTCAGGTTTTATTAGGTTCTAGTAAACGTCGCCTTTTATAATGATAAGAACATCTGTGGAAAAATTACGAAAGTCGAACACCAACTTCTGGATAAGAATGTATATAACTACACAACATTGATTCATGGTGAAATAAATGCCAAATGCCGGCAGAGTTACGATCACATGTCGTTCTCGGGTTGTTCGCCGTTAATGGACGATTAGCCAATCAGAGCACACTCACTGTAAAATAGCGTTAGTAGGAACTTAGCTGGTCACGGCAAAATATCCACTGCCTTCTGTTAATGAAAGCTTAAATTTTGAGACAGTCTTATTGTGTATGGGTTTCCCTCTTTGTTGACTAAAATTGTCTTGCATTCGTCAAATAAAATATTAAAAGTGGTGTCCCCCTATTGAAGAGGGCTGACCACAAAAGGTGAATAATGGAAAATTTGTCAAAAGTATGGGATTTACTGTGTTGTCTGTCAAAAGGAAAGGGCTAGTCGATTACAACTCCATTGAATATGTTTTAGCAATTCAAAAAGGGTATTACTTTACCTTTGAAGAAAAAAAACACTAGGAGGTAGTAGCCATCTGCTCCACTATTACCAGAAAAAAGTATTGACTATTTTTACCCCCTGTACATTGAATTACCAGTATACACAATAGATAAAAGAATTGGCTATGATGTTGAATTGATTATAATAGATACTTTTTTGTGGTGGACAGATTTGATGAGGGCCTGCGAGAAGTTTGAGAAAATGCATCAAGTTGGCTACTATGCCATCCCCAGGGAGAGCTGCGGGGACCCTACTATTCAAGCCCTTACAGTTGACAACATCGACCCATTTCTCTGTACACATATTAATGTCGCCTTTGCTAGGGTAGTAAATGATGATATTGTACCCACCGATGAGTCAGATCTTATGGTAAGGAAATATTGGGTTTACTTCTGTATGCTGATGTATATACAATATACGTACTATACACCTTAAATACACTTAACTATATAATCAAAAGAAAAATTCTGTATTTATGTGTTATCATGTTACTTACAGATTGTAATGTGAATTAGGTACTTGCTGTAGCTATAACAAGGTTAAGTAGTTACTAATGTAGATAAACATTATTTTAACAGATGAGCCTGAACATTGTTTTCTTGTTAGGTGTACAGGGAAGTGATTGCTCTGAAGAAAAAGAACCCCAGATTGAAGGTGTTGCTGTCTCTTGGGGGAGCCACGGATGAACCAGGTTTCTCAGATCTTGTACGAGATCCCGCTGCTGTGGCTCAGTAAGCTCACCCTTCAGTTACATATTGGAATCATTCTTTCACAGTATGTTACAGTGTACTGGTAACATTTCTATGACAACATATTGACAGTGATTGAATCTTTCTTTCAAATATAGTAGTCCCTCGGTTAACAAAATTTCGGTTAACGAATTACCTTCCATAAGAATATTAAATTCGGTTAACGAAATTTTTACGAAAATGTTTCGTCATGCTTTGGCTTGCTCACCAGCTGGGAGATCAGTCCGCCAATACAGAAATCTGTTCTAGGGCATACATTCGTTAAAATTGGAGTAAATATCAAGAAGTTTGTACTATTCAATAATTTTCCAAGTTTTATATTAAAATTTTGAGTCATTTTAACACTTATTTAACATAATTGCTTATTTAACATAATTGCAGTACAGGGAACTAGTTTTTGATCCGCCAATGATTGGCGGCCAATCAGCCACTCAACTCGCCCAACAGGCATCAGTTTGTATCTCTGGTCAGTGGAGGTAACATCTTGCTTGTTGGCTCTCTTGAACATAAACTATTTTTACGTTTTTACGGTACAATTATTGGTCATTCTGAAATTTATTTTACATATTGACAATATATAGTGCAGTGCAGCATTGATTTAAAGAAAATAATCTTCAATTACACCTAGTGAACTTCAAATTTTATGGGTGAAATGACGGCATGAAGCATGGGGTGATTTCTCTTCCACCCCACTTCCTTCTCTTCTCCTTTCTCCTCCACCCCTACTTCTAATTCCCATCATCATCATCAACCAGGAGCCTTCTACATACACACCTCAAAGTAAGTGTACTTTACTGCTTTTATTTTTACTTTGTATGTAATTTTCGGTGAGCTGGAACCAATTACCCAATATCCCATTAAAACAATGGTTTCGGTTATCGAAATTTTCGGTTAACGAACGACCTTCTGGAACGAATGTGTTCGTTAACCGAGGGACCACTGTACTGTGACTAATAATGCAGTTACAATGTTTTCATAGCTAAACATAATGTCATTTGACCATAGGTGAAATCAATTCATTTTACTTTTTGGATGGTTTGCAGGGGGCAGATCCAGGAATATCAAAAGAGTGGGGGGGTCCAAGAAGTTATGGGTGGGGGAACATGGCGAGCAAAGTCCCCAGCTGGGTGGTATGGGGGGTGTTGTAAGTCCCCCCAGATTTTTTTTTTAAATCTGACCAATATCAGGGGCATTTTGAGGTCATTTTGAAGCCATGTGCTCTTGATATTGTAAATTAGGAGATACAATATTCTGAGGTCAATTGTAATTACATTTTACTATACAAAATGCTTGAGTACAATACAGCATTAAAGAAAAAGTATTGGAATTTTCTGATGAAAAGGGGGGGGGGGAGAAACTGGGTCCCCAAAACCTGGATCTGCCCCCGATTTGGGTTTGTAGTCATATTTATGGTGGTGTTCAAACTGTAAACTTTTATCAGAGTTTTATGTCATATTGCTTTAACTTGTTGCTGTCTTCAAGAATTCTTACAAAATCCTAGAGTGAAGGACATTGTTTCAATGTTTCATACACACACATTCAAAGGCACTTGTGGAAGTGAGTCTCTGGAAAGAAAAATATATATGAGAAGTCATTTCCCATAAATGCAACTTGAATTTAATTATTGTGATTGGGGTTAAATCATCTACAGTAGCATGTACATATTTTAATTCCAATAACAATTCTGCAGGTTCTGTACCAAGGCTCGCAAGCTTCTCACAAGCTATGGGTTTGATGGCCTGGACCTAGACTGGGAGTTCCCTGCTTGGCCTGTATTTAGACATGATTGCCGTGAGAAGAGGTGGTTCACACAGCTTGTTCAGCAACTTCATAATGAGTTTAAAGTTTGTTAATTGCAATGATGATTCAGTTTAACATTCATTGTGGAGTGATATGAAACATTTTGAATCAGTGTGGATGTTAATGGTGCAGTTTATGTACCTGTACTGGAAATGTTAGTTGAGGTTATGAGTGTCTGTGAAGTAATTTTATTTAGTGTTTAAGTCCTTTTTTGTTTTGTTTTTCTGTTTTTTTACATTTATCTTGTACTGTACCTCTCTTTCTTCTGTTTTCTCCATTTTTTTAAGTTTCTGTTCCCCTTGTTCTACTACACAAAAGATGGAGAGGAACGAATGTGAGGTATTGAGGAGATCGAAAGGATTTGTATAAAGCCATCACTTTAACGTACTGTACTGTACTAGGAGGTTGGGATATGTTATTGATTGTGACATAATTATGATATTTCAGTTAGTTGATATTATCGACACTGGCATTTGACCAGGTGGTATCTACACATCTTGCTGCAGTGATAGCTTTAGCCATGAATTTATGGGTCATAATAAGGATGAATCCATTGCCGGTAAATGTTTTAACAGTGGAGAAGCAGATACTGTATATGTGTGTGTACAGTAGTCCCTTAACAGTAACTGAGGTTGCTAACAGAAAGGTCTTTCAGCTTCAAAATCCCCACATGTTTTAGTGAGAGGAGTAAGCCATCTTGGTTGTATGTGTGACAGTGATTAAGTATAGGAGACAGCCTGATACTATAGGAATGGTCTTAGAGAAGATATAAAAAAAATCATGTGATGACAGGTAATTAGACCCTTGCAGGTCTATTAAAAGTTTTTGGGGTGTTTTCACAAGTGCTACTAAGACAAGTCACACTCAGGTGGGGAAGGTGTTTCCCCACCCACATCCCAGCTATTGTGTGCCTCTGAGAAACCTCCTGTACTGTAGCTCTACCCACAGGGTCCAATTTCACTAGTTAGACACAAAGGCCTCTGCTAAGGTCCAGTGGGTTGGACACACTAAGAGAGCTACATAACATGTGGAAGAGTAGAGCAGTTTGAGACAGCTACTGGATCTAAATGTTTAGGCTTCAGTGTGTTGCAACACCTCATCCTTTTGAATAATGTTTATTTTTGTCAGCCACTTCATGCTTTCTGGACAGAGCAGGATCTACCAACATGTCCTCGGTTGTTTACTGTCTCTTATTGGCTCAATCTTTCACCTTTGGAGGTTATTTAAAACACAGTGATGAGATACAGTAGATTGTTCATTATAAATACCTCAAGTTTTGAACTAAGTACAGTACAGTACACAGTATATAATGGGATTACTGCTAAGATTCACTATATTATCAACTTCTGATTGTTAATCTTGGTTTTAGTTGGCTTCTTCAACTCCCCTCCTGCTGACCATTGCTGTAGCAGGTCCGAAGTCCATCATTGATCATTCCTATGAGGTTAATCAACTAGCAAAGTAAGTCGGAGATTATTCATCAAATGATAATTTGTAGAATATGTTAACAGAGGGAATTATTGCACCTTATTGACCATCACATTCTTTGGCTTTTGTTACAATACCTTGAAGCTTTACTAGAGTAGCCAAACAACATTCAGTAGATACAGTAGACCAGAATGAGAGTGGTTAGTGTCATCATTATCATCATCATCATCATCATCATCATCATCATCATCACTGATGGAGAGGGAGCTTATGGCAGGGGTTTTCAAACTATGGGTCCCGACCCTTCAGTGGGTCGCGAAATAAATAAATTGGGTCGCAAAATAAAAATGGGTCGCGAAAATAAATCAGAATATTTTTATTTTCATGCAATTGGATACATATAATTCAAATATAAATGGATCATGAGAAATTTACATGAATTTTGTCGATGCTAAATAAAGGAAAATTGTGAACAGTGTTTGTCTTTGATTTACTCATTTCATATCATTACACTTAGGTTTAATGGGTCGCATTTCAAATTGTTGTTCTGGCTGTGGGTCGCAGTAAAAAAAGTTTGAAAAACACTGGCTTATGGTATAGTGTGGTTGATATTGGCATCTGATTAGTACAGTATACATCAGATGTGGAGATACAGCATTTTGCTGTGCATTAACTGCCTTTTATTAACTACATTTCTTCTTTTTCAGATATGTGGATTTTGTCTCCCTTATGAGTTATGACTTCCACATGTTTTGGCCATACTTGCCTTTCACTGGTCATAATGCTCCATTAGCAAAACGAAAAAGTGAGAAGTTTTGTTTTGCCACACTGAACACAGAGTGGTCAGCTAACTATTGGGTAAAGAAAGGAATGCCTAAAGAGAAGTTAGTCATTGGGGTGCCGACATATGGACGTTCCTGGAAGTAAGAAGTAATGATATCAGTAAGTCTTATTTTGTATGAATTATAAAGAAATAAAATGTAGTCAACTACTTAAGTCCATTTACCTGTTCTCCTGAACCATGAACCCTGAGATTCAGACTCATGAACCAGAAGCAGTAGACACTGATGCATTATTCGCCCAATAAGTGCTTCGGATTCATGAGTCTAAATCGGGGTTCGTGAAACAGTAGGAGAATGCAACAGGACTTTTTGTGGGTGACTGTAGCTATAACTTGTTAAACCTTAATACTGTATCAGATAATGAAATATTATCTGTTAACAATGTAGAATGTTAAACTATATTATTAACAGTGATACACAATGGTTGCAGGTTGCTCAATGGTGCATGGTACGGTGTTGCGTCGCCAGCCACAGGAAGTGGAATTATGGGTGGTGCCTTGTCCTACACGAATGTATTTTTTTTCATTCAGGAAGGAGCAAGACGGTACTTTGATGAAAGCAGTAAAGTACCATATGCTGTGCGTGACAAAGACTGGATATCTTATGATGACCCTGAGAGTGTCAAACTAAAGGTATGATGTCGAGCTTTCATTCATCCTCTTAATAGACAGTATACATTGTAAATCTGTGTTATGATCTTTAAGGAAAAATACCTTTGTAATAAGTTATTTAAGGAACATGAAGTACAGGTAGTTCTGCTATAACGCGATAATTGTGTTCTTGTAAAATATCGTGTTATAGAAAATCGCGTAATAGAAATAACAGGGCTTATGGAGAAAATAGGGTTAGGTGCAGATTACTCGAAATCGAAAAAATTTAGTAGTTAGCCTAACACAAAGGATAGCACAGTCTAAATAAATGTTACATTCATATCTAATAATGAAATCATACAGCAATTGTAACACTTTACCTTGAAAAAATATGAATGTAACTTGATGGGGGACAAGGGTAATTTTGAGGTTGATAACATCGAGCTTCTCTTCAAGTGTTATATCCTTTCTTTTACGATCATCACCGGGAATTCTATCACCAGAACGCTTCTTGGAGATATTCTTCTTTACCATATTCACAATTAATACCACAAAATTGGAGAAATAGTAAGCAAAAATCGCGTTATAGCAAACAAGCGTTCGCGTTATACAAATATCGTTCCTAATTCATAAATCGCGTTAGAGCAAATTCGCGTTATCAAAACACGCGTTATAGCAGAACTCACTGTACAGGGAAGCCATGGTATTTGTCTCGCCTTTATTCATTGTTACACATGTTCGTAGCTAATTAATTTGGGAATGCTTTTCCATTATTTTGCCATTTACATCTCACATTTTCATTATTGGGACTATTAGAGTACAGTCTCTCCTCGACTTATGACAGGGTTCCGTTCTGACGACCAGGTCGTAAGTCGAAAAGGCGAAAATAATACATAGAAATTCAAAAATGAAATACAGTACAGTAAAAGTAATCAATAATGAAAAATTATTAAAGTGTTACTGTGCACTTACCTTTAATGTAGTCCGCTGAATGCACACGGGGCCTCAATAATTTTTTTTATTAAGCATGGAGACTACATTAATTGGATGAAGCAGAAGAGAAAACAGGGCCGTCGTATGTCCGGGTTGTCGTAAGTCGAGGAAAGAGAGTACTTGCTTGGTTTGGTGGAGGAATAAATTAAGATAAATATAAAATAAAAATGCAGTTACCAGACACACCAGTATTTAAATACACTACCATTTATGCTAATAAGCTCTCATTTAACAGGCAGAATGGATCAAGAAAATGGACTTTGCTGGAGTCATGACCTGGAACCTCAACTGTGATGACTGGGCTGGAGTTTGCTCAGGACACAAGTTTGAACTGCATAACATCATCAAAAATGTGTTATTTGGGAACGAGTCAACTGAAGACAAAAGTTTTGTGTCTGTTCAACTCTAGAAGTAAACTGTGATATTATTTTTAGTTCAAGTAGTATACATTATAGGGTTTTTATATATTTTTTATTCTTTGGTGCCTTATTGCTATTTACAGTCAGTCAGTAATAGCCCAATACTGTAGATGTAGAGAATAAGCAAAAGTGACTTAGAAGTAATTGATGTTCAATCATAAATGCAGCTGAGCCTTTTGTACTATACTTTACAGGAAACCTTCTGTACAGGTGGACATATTGCACACCACTTTTTACAATAAATACAGTGTGTAAATAATAAGCCTGGCTGCAATCTTGGGTGGGTAATGTAAATTTCAATGAGAAACATTTGCATGATAAAGAGAGATTCCTGAGGATGGTGTAGAGCAGGGGTCACCAAACTACGGCCCGCGGGCCGGATCCGGCCCGCGACGTCAGTGAAACGTCAGTTTCACAAATCTCACTAACCTTTTTTGCTGCTTAGTTTGTGAGATTCGGATATGTGCACACTAGGTCTGATGTGACTATCTTTTTGCTAACGTCGCCTTCTTTGATAACTTTTTAGTAAATAAATATGTTGGTTGTCTTTGTTTTTGTGCATTGCACGCCACTCACCCATGATTAACATGGAATGCTAAACTTAGTTTTTCGTCTTTTTTCCCAGAGCTTTCGTTCTGGCTTGCAAGTATTGAACAGAATGATTAGGCGGCCCGCGCTCGTCATTCTTTCAGTTATCCGGCCCACTGTGAAAAAAGTTTGGTGACCCCTGGTGTAGAGGAAGACAGGATAGATACTGGCACAGGTACAGATACATTCTGGAACCAATACTTGCCAACAGTGCATAACAGAGACATGACCAACTGTCCAAGTGGCAAAGAGGATTGAGTAAAGTAAAGGTATTGAGGTATAACTACTGTAGTACCTACACCTAACCTATTTTATTAATACTTATCATACATAGACATTTATTAGTTGCGTATTAAGTAACATTTAAGATTTATCCTCCTTGTTTTATTGTGTAGCATGAACTTATGACTTGACATCAGGAGTAAGCAACTCTTCATGGCCAGAGAGTCTTGGGACTTCAAGTAGATTCATCTCTCATTTCAACCTGCACTTCTATTTACCAAATAGCTTTGGTAATATGTTTTCTTGGTGTAGATGTTTTTTTCATTTAGAACCAGTTACCCTTTTCTCTTCATGTTCTGATTACTTTTTTCTTTTTTTGTAATGAATTTGTGGGTGTTCAGCAAATTCCCATTTATCCCATATATTTTTTTAATCCACTCATACTGTACTTATGTTCTCAATCTCATATATTTTTGTAGATCAAAGAATGACACAAACAAATTCTTTACCTTCTAAAACAGCTTGTAACTTAATTTAATACAAGAGCATAAATTTAAAAGAAAATGTAATATCCAATATTGAAGCTCTTGTGGGCAAACTTCTTTGGGACAATCAAACCAGTCAATTTATACTGCTAGATCAAAGCAGAAGATATAAAGTGCAAACACGTAAATCTGTTTTGTAGACACGGACACTGTCTGTTGCTTAACCATTCTCCTTCATTTAGCTGTTCCTCCTTGTTATTCTAAATTTAGTTTTTTTTTTCTTTCTTTCATATTGTCTCTCATTCCAGACATCTTATTGAACTATTATTTCAAATGATTCCATTCTTATTACAGTATTATGATTATGTAATCCTACATTCCAGATACAATGATTTAATAAGGTAGTTCATTGTTTATGTAAAATCAACTAGCATTCTGAAGGGTAAGTGAGAAGTCTAAGCTAGTCAGTTGTATGTAAGAGCCTGTCACAGTGTGTAGTGATGAGGAAGAAGCCTCTACATATATTGGTAACTTGATTGATGCCCCCACTTCGTACTCACACCCTAATTGGTTTTATCAGTATGCTATGTTAAATTGTATATAATAATAATTCTGTTCCAAACTCAAGTACAGTATTTAAGTCTTTTAAGATAATATTTATTTTGCCTTCTCCATGAGCCAGGGGCATAGTGTTACCCCTCTCCATAACTTTATCTGATTTGTCCAATACTGGGGACTGTACTGTACTCATTTTGTTATATTTAATCCTCCTATACAGTACTGTAGTTATCCATGAAAAATCATGGAACTTGATACAAACATTTTTGAAAACCACTAGATGTGCTCATTGTAATATGGATTATGCGTAATGAATTTATTTTTTTTCAACTTTTACCATCTTTGGCTAGTAGGGGAATACAGTGATATCTCCGTTAGCCAGAACAATTGGTGCAGAGCACATCCGGGAATGAGATATATCTGGGTAAAGAGACAACTCTCTCAAAGCCGGAAAAAATCCCTCATCCCCGGAATTTTCCGGGTAACGGAAAAATTTCTCAGAAGTTCCAGAAATTGCCCATTACAGTGCATCATCTCTCGAACCCGGAAAAATATTCCCTATCCCTGGAATTTTCGGGTATTCGGAAAATTTTCTCGTAATTTTCCGCCAAATTCCTCTTTGGGAACGATTTTCCGAGAAAATTCCATTTCCGGCTACCGGAGAGTTCTGGGTTTGAGGGATTCCGGTTAATGGAGTTAATACTGTATTAAGCTCTCTGAGGTGAATAAAATTGTCTTGCAATAGCCAGATCAAATATTAAAAGTAGCTTCCCTATAGCATAGAAGTTAATAGTTAGTTAGAATAATGTCTTATAATTTGTATTTAGTTAATGGAGTGTGGCTCATTGTGCATTAGTTTGGCAGGTTTGACCTGAACAATCTATAATTCTTAAATATGTTCAATCACACGTTTGGAACTACAGTATTGTTAAGATTTTTTTTCTGTAGCTCATATGTTTTGTTTATTACCTACAGAATATGCAAAATGAAGATTAATTTTGTGAAAGCAATATCAAAGAGTTTAGTTATACACTAATGTTATCGATACAATATTCTGTATTGTAATGCAGTTGATATATCTAACACTCAGAATTCTCTATAGGCTATAGTCATTTTTATAATTATGCTTGTTAGTGTTAATGTATCTCTCATAGAAGTAGCATTATTATTATGACCTGCTAAAACTGTAGTGCTTTATGGACTTTCCTTTAAATAACCCAAAATCATATGAAGGAATAAAAGGGGAGGAAGCTTAAAAAAATTTCATGACAGCAAATTTGTTGTGAGTGATGAAAACCCACAAAGCAGATCTGCATCAAAAGAAAAAAGGCAGATTGAATAACAAAATAACAGAAGTGACCAAGAACTGCAGAGTGACCTATTGATCTAGGCCATGACATTCAGTAAGTTATACCTGTCAAAGTGACCTGTTGATCTAGGGCTCTAGGCCATGACATTCAGGTAAGTTGGTTAGAATTAAGTTGTTGCTGTGATTATTAACATGGTGCTGTATCTACAAACTTCAACTCGCTGTTCATTTATTGTTGTGATTTTGGGTTGTGCTCTGGGATTTTTTCCCACTCACAGCATGGTGTGTTTGCTCTTAGACTTAAGATAAATTATTGGCCAGAATCCTTCGGTGTTTTCCAAAACAAGTAAAGGAAGAAGGAAATTTCTTACTTTGATGATAATGTGAGAATGCCATATTGTTTCCTGCTGTGTTTTATCTTTAAGGACCTCTCGTACCAAGAGGGGTCACAACTCCTTTAGACAGGTAAGAGCTGATTTAATAGAAGTTTATAAGCACCTCAAAGGACAATATTCAGTCATGTGTTCATGTCTGGAATGGATGGATACCTACCCCACTATAGGTCACAGCTTTAAGGCAAGAAAAAAGCCACAAGTATAGAAAACTGTCAGAGCAGACTTCCTCTGAGTAAGAGTTGTGAACTGGAGGAATAATCTTCTAGAGAGTGTTGTGATGTCACCTGGTGTAAGCTCATATAAGGCCAGACCTGACCAACACTGGACAGCACTGGTGACAAGCTTGATGCAGTGCCTTTTGTAGAATGAGTTAGGATAGATTAAGGTTTATAAAATGGTGACTGGTAACAATACTCAGGGGAAAACAATCAATGAAAGTAAGGGACTGTAACATGTGTCAAGTTTTAGTTTTACTTGTGATAAATTCTTTATACATATAAATTCTTCATACATATTCCTACAGTTTTTACCCTAAAATATGTTTGACCATTTGTAAACATTAACCATTGTATCATCCAGGTGATGATAGATTTATGAGAGATAAACAGATGTAAGTCACATTGCAAGTTGAATATTATATTTGTATAAATAGTTCAAATAAAGTACTGTAGTATACAATTATTAAAATAAAAAAATGTGCTTTGAAGCAATTCAGTGTCTGTCATTGGGTTGATATTATTGGTGGTGTAAACTTTTTGCTCATTTTGTAATAGTCGGTGTATTTTATATTGAAATTGTTATAATAAAGGAAAGGTTTGGATGTTTGATGATGCAGTTTAACTTTTTTCTTCCCACTGTAATACAGTTCCTGCAATAAATTTTGTATTCCCACACTGCACAATATTAATAGTTTTTTTCTCATGCAGAAAATATTATAATTATATTTGGTACTGTATGTCTGAAGGGTGCCAAAGTTGAGGCTCCACAGATGCCAACAACCTTGGAGCCGGCATTGTGTTCAACAATAATCATCCATTATCATCTGTAGGAGTTAAAGATACTGTACATTAACTGAATGTAAATGGCATTGCTGGAAGAATATATTTATACAGTACACAAAGACATTATATTATTGAAAAGAAAAAGCTTGAAATATTGATAATTCTGCTGGACAGGTAGTCACTTTCTTTACAGTATTTTTTACTTGGTAAATACTTGGTCTGGAAGATGCTAAGACATAAATTACCAGTACTTAAACCCATTGTCAAGATAATAAACAATGTGTAGTAAATTGTACAGTATACAGTAGTTGCTGACAAAACAATAACTGAAGCAACACAGACCGAGAGATCCTGGTAGACTGCACTTCATGGTACTGAAAAATGTAATACCTATACTTATACTTGTATACTGTAATATTGTTTAATGATGTCTGCCTTACTGAATGCTGTAACATCAAACTTTACTAATCACAGTGTTAATTTGATACTTTTTATGTTCTAAAGACCATTAAGTACAGATACTAGTTTGGTGGTCCTCTATATTTTGGACATTTTCAATCAAATGGCAGTCTATTGCACATCTCAGGGACCAAATCATCTCACAGTACAGTACTCCAAAGGTCCAGATGGGGGAGCACTACATTATTGCTCCGGCAGCACTGTTTTGATCAATCACTCAATATCGCCGACGCCTTGTTCCCTCCCGGGAACTCCCCAATGGGGTGGCCATGGCAGAAATGTCTCCAGGCCATTTTATCCTTGCATACCTCCCTTGCTCTCTCAAACATACTTCCTCCCCTTCCCGCTCTCTCTTCACCAAACTCTCCAACTCTTTTCTCCCAGGTTGCAATTGGTCTACCCCTCCCAACATTCCCCTCTCTCTAGCTATCATACACTTTTTTGTTTGCCTGTCTTTATGCATCCTCGGCACATGTCCATACCACCTTAGTGTATTCCTCTTCATCCACTCCACCACACTTCACACATGAAGTTATAGTAAGCTGTAAATCTATATCAATCAAGCAATCGACATTATTTTGCATTAATAATACATATACAAAACTGAATACAGCTCCTCCCCGACCTATGACCTACTCGGCTTACGTCCACCCACACTTACGACTTGCCTCAGTCTGCCTCAGTCGTACCAAAATTTGGTCAAATTACGTATTTTGGAGTCCCAAAGTCAGTACAGACAAAATTTTCATCTGTAATTCACTTTAAAATGGCTGGCAAGCTTAAATGTGAGTGTTTTGTGGTGCTGAGAAGAAAAAGAGACCCCCATTTTAGATTTTCTATGTATTATTTAAGCATTTCCGACTTACGACCTGCATGTCGGTCCCTAACTCCGTCTTAAGTCGGGAGCAGCTGTATATACTCATAATTAATCTCCTTCAGAGCAGCTTACATTTTATGACTTATAAATATTATAGAAAGACTGTGATACAGGTGCACTTCTAAACACTTAAAAACAGTACTTCCTCGAATAAGAGCTATAGATAAGTTACCAATATCGAAAGGATAAGCACATTAGACTATTACTAGATTATATATATATATATATATATATATATATATATATATATATATATATATATATATATATATATATATATATATATATATATATGGTGATTGGTGTCCCATAAGTTTCCATACAACGTATCACCAACGCCATTACAAGCATAACCCCAGCTGTGCTTGACCGTGTTCTTCAGCAGTGGAGGACAGCATTGAAGAGTGTTGTCAACAGAACAGTAGTCATGTAGAGCATATTATAGAAATAAAAATGGATTTTCATATACAATTTATTTTTCCTATGTATGGAAGTTTATGGGACACCCTGTAGCACCTGGTGTTATCGCCACATAAGAACTTATCCGTTTCATCGACAGTGGCGGAAAAGGTGCATAAGAATTTGATCCAGAAATATAAAACCAAATTAATGATTTTTATTATTATTTAAATATTATAATTTGTACTATTTATTTGTATATGTGAGAATTTTTATATATAAGAGCGTAATTATATCTGATAAGATGGATGAAGGCAGAGTCAACAAGAGAACACTTATTGTGACGTTTCAGGTGAGGTCAGAACAGCAGCAACAATGGCGAATGTATGTGGCGCCTTGATAGTTTGTACCATTTTGACGGTGTGTTGGGGACAGAACAGCTTCGACAGTATCTTGAGTGATGTGACAGCTTGCGAGGAAGGATGCACCAAGTCTTATTCCCCCCACACTAACCCAAATGTGAGTTTTAAGGCTGAAAGAAAGGTGTTATTTTATCGTTAGGGGTTTCAACTTCGACCTCGAACACCTTGGGAGAGGGAAAGCTTTTTCTCCTGTGGTTATGCTGCCCACCTTCCCCTGCCGCGCTTACTCATTACCATACTTTTGTCCTTATTCCCTTAACTAAAACAGAATTATGAGGTGAGTAGGAAATATATTCATATTTGTGTATGGAATGTCACATGCATCTTGGGACAACGTAAATATTAACTTTTTTATTGTAAATATTGACGTTTCTAGTGTCATAATGTCACGTGTGGATAGGTGGCTTATGCAATGATGTTGGATGCTTAGTATCTTTTATCCTCTCACTCCAAAAAAGTTACCGGTAGCCCTCACAATTTTCTCGACTTGTGGCTTCTTCAACCTTGTGGGGCGAGCATCCACCAGCTCCAGGTGTGGACACTCGATTGAGTACTGTAGTCCCCTTTGAGATATTTATACACTCCAATTAGTTCCCTCCCTTGCTCGTCTGCAGTATAAGCTAGGCAATTGCAGGCACTAATCTCTCTGGGTAGCTGAGCTGTCAAAGTGCAGGCACCAGTCTGGTGGCCCTCCTTTGGACATTTTCAATCAACTGACAGTTCTCCAGACAGGGAAGCACCTCTGGCTAGGAAGTTAGGTAAGGTTAAGTAGGCTCCTTTGGTTGGTTAGGTCAGGTTCTATTTGGTTCGAGTAAATGTCGCCTTTTATAATGATAGGAACATTTGTGGAAAAAATTAACAAAATCGAACAACTCCTTCTGGTGGTAGTGGTGTTCTTAGACATTACCATATTTTTAACCTTACAAGTGCAAAACCTTAAGGTTTACAAAGGCTTGTTTGGTATTCTTTTTAGTTCTCACCCCACATTTTCCCTCTATTCCCCATTTTGAACTACCAATATTGTTGGTAATTGGGGAGGTCTTACCGGTTGAAATACTTGAAAAATATAAATGTACGCTGGAAACTTAATTTTTTTGCTTTCTCCCTGTATAAATAGAAATATGAAATTCTGTGTTAGACCTTAGCTGAATCTTTACCTCTATATTTCTTATTAGTTTCCATGCACAACAGAAATATGGAGTGCCACTATAGTACTGTATGCAGTCTACCAAGCAGATGCTACTATAGTATGCGGTCTACCGAGCTGGAGTTGTGTCTACCGAGATATTTTCACTGCCATCCATTAACCTAATACTGTAGGTTAGGTCAACTTCGGCTCGGTAGACCGCATACTATAGTGGCTCCAGCTTGGTAGACCGCACACTATAGTATAGGGGGTCCTTGATATCTGCGGTTGATTGGGACCGGAAAAACGCCTCGGATAATTAATTCATTTAAAGCGGGGAATGAATCCCTTAAGAAATAATGGAAATCGGTCAAATTGGGACCATGGCATTCTACACGACACTCAAAATTTTTTTTATGATATTTTTTTAACAATTGTTTACCTTAGAAACATTTGTTAAACATTTGATAACACATTATTTTAAGAAATTATTTAACTTTATAAATTATCTAACGTCCTTAAAGTTCATTGGGGTCTGTGTGTTGAGGCAGCGTAGGTTGTGTCAGTGACCCGGTGGTCCACAGCAACCGTTACTGGTGCATTGCTCACTCCAGTGGTTCATTGAGACAAAATACTTCTTAGAATGTTTAAAAAAAATTAAATTAACGTAAAATACTTTTATTTACTTAGCATCAAAGGTAGAGATGTTTGCTTTGATTGGATTGATGGAAGTAAGTGTTGGGGGATGGAGGATTAGTCGGAGGATAAAAAAGAAACAAACAGGACTAGGTGGATTGTCCACTTCCCACTCTTTTGTCTACTCACTTCTAGTTTTGCATCTATACTATAGCTAGTGTGCTTCTTTTTGAGTGCTGCACCACCTTGTTTGGGTTGGGAACTCATGGCTACAAAAGTGATAAAATAATTCACCACAACATGCACAAAAAGACAACAAAGGCAGGAGTAAACACAACACAGCACTGGTCTAGACAAAACAAAGTGGGAGACTGGCGTGGGGACACGTGTGTGCATGCATAACGCCAGAAAGAGATTGAAATTTCAAACACTTCAGCTAAAAATCTGTACCGTATATATTTTCTGGAGTTTTAAATCCATAGATTTTATCCCGAGTTTTCAGTTTTCGAGTGGTTTTTTAATGGAATCCACTTAAATGCTGGGGCTTTTTACGTGGATGGTCACAAAGGTTGACCACTTAACTGTATAACCGTGGATAGTACATACTGTTATAACGAGGAAATCCAGTAGCACCAAATATGATTAGGTATGTTTATAGCTGCAAAACGATCGACTCAAGGCAAAATAAATGCCAAATGCTGCTAGTGTCATGGTCAAATATAGTTCTTGCGTTGTTTTTCCGGTAATGAACGATTAGCCAATCAGCGCACTCATGGTGAAATAGCATTAGTAGGAACTTGGGCTGTTGTGGCAAAATGTCCACTACCTTGGGGGTGTTTTATGACAGTTTTGTAGTCTGATTACTTTCACTTCTATTCATTTTCTAGGGCAAATGCTTAGTTTTTGTAGATATAGGGGAGTTAAGATATAAGTTAGGTTTGGTTAGGTTATCACATGATTTCAGCCATTTTTTATTTTTTCCCAACATAATACAATATCTTCTAATAAAATCAGTGAAAACTGGGTATTTTTAAATCCATTTTCATTGGGAAACAGCGGGCGGTCACACTCCGAATAATTATCAATTATTATCATTTAACAGGGCATTACTCAGACGAGAGTTCATACCTGGAGCTGGCGGACGCCCACCCCACTAGGGGTCAAGGTTGAAGAAGCCACAAGTTTGGGAAATTGTCAGGGTAAACTTTTTGAAGTGAAAATTGTAAACTCTTGGAACAATCTGTCAGTGTGTGTAACAGACTTGACCTTGGTTTTGTTGTGTACAGGGTATATGTCAGAAAGTTGTTACCATACTAATATTTGTGTACTTTTAAGCTGTTGCTGGCATTTACTGGTACAGTGTAATGACTCTGGTACATACAGTATATTGTATTTGTTTTTTAATTAGCCTCATCTATGCTGGTATTGTGTATTTATTGTTTTCCTTATCATTTACAGCCAAGTAACCATGTTGCGTGTGCCAGAGGCTGCCGCCTCTATTCCATCAGCAACATCATCGTTGAAAACCATGACCATGGAAATGCTGTTGATGGCAGTGATGCACATCCAGTGAGGAATACTTGTTATAATGGTGAGTTAGCCAGTGAGAAGTGTTTACTCTGCTATTGAGTTACTTGTTGTTAAGAATATCTGTTGTAATGGTGAGTTACACAACTTACACCTGCCAAAGAATACCTGTTTTAAGTTACAATACTGTACAGGTGCAGTGTTATGTTTGATTTAATACTTTATTAAGTACAAACTGGGTGGTTTTGTTGGTTCTTACCTGAGCATCTCTCAAGGTGAGGTAGTCTGGGGTTCTGTCAGGGCAAGGTTCTGTTTGGAGTTATAGGTGTAGTTGGGTAGGAGAGCTGATCCTTTGGCTGGTTATGAGCTAAATGGGTAAAGGCTCTGTACCATCACCACCACAATGGACCACAGTACAGTGGTCCCTCGGTTAACGAACGGTTCGATTAACAAAATTTTGGTTAACGAATTAGCTCCCATAAGGATTTTAAGCTCTATTAACGAACAAAACTTCGATTAACGAAATCCATAAGACAAAAGCGTTTTGTTGTGCACATCAGCTGATCGGTTTGTCCGCCAATACAGTAATTGGTTCTATGTTTACATTCGTTTCCAGTGAAGTAAATATAAAAAAAGTTGGTCTCTTGAATATTTCTGCATTTTTTATATATTAAAATTATTGGTCATTCTGAAATTTAGTTAACATATTAATAATATAGACAGTATAGGGAAAGGGAACAGTTTTTGTGCACCCATCAGCTGCTTGAATCACCCAACAACCCTTCTCAGTTTAACTTTGTTTACAGTGGAGTGAACATCGATTTTGTTGGTCTCTTGAATATTTTTATATTTTAACATTAAAATTATTGGTCATTCTGAAATTTAGTTAATATATTGATAATATACAGTGCAGAAATTATTATGAAACATGAAGAAGGCATTAGAACCAATGCACTCTGTAAAGAATATGGCATGTCATCATCGACTGCCTCTACAATCAGCTGTTTGATATGTAAACAAAGCTGCCGGTAATACGACATACACACCTCAAAGTAAGTTAAAATGCAGTATTCTATTGTTTTTTTTATTTATTATTGCACAATATACTGTGCAGTACAGTACTGTATTTAGTTTATGTTTATTGTTTTGTTAATTCTATAACTGGCATACAGTACTTTGTATGTACTTTTTCTGTGATTTGGAACCAATTACCCAAAATCCCATTGAAATAATATATTCAGTTCATGAAATTTTCAGCTAACGAACGACTGGAACGAATTGTGTTCGTTAACCGAGGGACCACTGTACAGTACAGTGGGGTATGCTATAAAGAATGGATTCTACTACGAATATTCCTATAACGAACGGTTTTACCTATAAAATTGAGAATGCTATAACGAACGAAACTCCTACAACGAACATTATTATTATTATTTTTTTTTAACTAATTTATTGTTTTTTTATTACAAGTATTAATGATATTCTTTATTTCAGGGGTTTAGATGCATATTTATGCACTTTTTAATTTTTACAATTTTATATTATATTTTTCAGTGTTAAGTGGTTGTATTTGGGGGCCTGGAACGGATTAATCCTATAACGAACAAATGCTATAACGAACAAGGTTCTAGAACCAATTAGATTCGTTATAGCATACCCCACTGTACTTGTTACCCATATCTACAAAGTGTTTGGAGTGAAGATATGCAGATAGTCCACATTACACTTTACTGAACTGTACTTTCATCCCACCTAAGTCTTGAGGCAGAGTTAACGTAAAACATCAGGATTATGACACATACACATTGGTTTCTTTCTCCGCGTTGTAGGATAGCTTCATTAGATTGTCAAGTTGTTGAATTGTTTTTTAATATTATTATTTTTCATAGGTCTTTGACGTTTAATGACCAATTGGGGAACGTGTTTTTACAGTCAAAATTCTAGTTACTAATTGTCATACAACACTGGATATGAATATTATATTTGATTTAGTAACTACTTCTACAGCATGTGTGGAAGCATACAATGAGACATCACCCAGTACAGCATCATGCAAGGTTGGCTGTGACTCTCAGGAGATCAAGGTGGCCGAGTCCAAGAAAAAGGTGTAGTACAGTAGTAATGTTGTATTGATTTATTGCAGTTCATGTCTGATTATATGCCTGTATGTCACCACTGTATTTTGAATTTTCTTCTAAAAAATCTCTAAGCTAGCTTTTTAATCTTGCAGACACACCTCATTTGCTGTCATTCATTTACTCTAAGTCTAGTGTTGTGACATCTGCAGAATGTCCATACCCCCCATCCTTCTCTCTGCCCTTACTCTCATCATCTGCCTCTGAATTATGCTCTCTTTAATGTGTCTTTTACTCCCCATTCTCTCAAAGTGTCCTGACTACTTGAGTAATCCACGGTCAACTCTGTTTGATGAGAGCATTTCCCATAAGGGGTTATTTTATGCTCCTTTATGTCCAATTGTAGGGCTGAGGGGGAAGGCTGCTATGTAGGGTTTATTTTTGGAATAAGACAATTGCTTTTCTCATTCAATGATTTTACTGTCTGATTGTTGTTAAAAGAACATACCGGTAGTTTTCTTAATGTTCATGTTAGCACTTGCATTGGAGGAATATCTGAACCTATTAGCAAATACACTATTGAAATTTGTATATGTTATAAATTGACTCGGCAGTGAAATGTGTTTCTTTAATGAAATGCTGCTTATGCTTGTAGGGAGAAGAGAGGAAGAGGTGACTGTAGATGGGAGTGAATGTTACTGCTGCTGATGCATGTCATTTGTCTTTTAAGACATTCTCTTTTAATGTATTTGAATGGCATGAATTAATTCTTTAATAACATTTGAACTATTTTCTCAGGAAGTACATAAAAGATGTCCAAGTTAGCTGGAGGATATTACAAAAGAGTATTATTGCAGGACGATGATGAGGGACCCTCAATCCATCTGCTGAGTCCACTGAGGCAGGTGCATTCTGTGTACTCCTCGTTCGTTGGGGCTGTCCACATTGTCCGTTCATCACTGGTCACATACTTCATGAGCGATGACAGCTCCATTGTGGTTGTTGAGTCTGAACCACAGGTTTTCATGGAGGTGTTGTCAGAAGCTGAGGTTGAAAACCCTCTCCAGGAGGCACTCCAGCAGTCCCGACAAAGTAAGCATAGTTTATTATAAGTCCAGTTACTTGAAACCTTAGTTTCAAATCTGCTACTGCTGTGGAAGGACAGTCCCTACTGTGAGACTAATTAAGCCACAACAATGTTACTTAGACGTCCATATCAGCACGGAGGCACAACTGTTTAAAACAACAGTCGGCATATTACACTAACAAAGATTGGCTTATTTATGCTCAAAATATATTAGTTCAAGTAAAATAGTCATACCGTACTTATGATCAGGCATGGGACTGAAGCCATCTTCGGCTTCTGCAAGTCATGATTTTTGGACTTCTGCTTTGACTTCGAAACTTTCTAAAGGCTTCAGCTTTGAAGCCAGTGGCATAGCTTCATCTTCGAAGCCACGGGCCTGCTTTCGGATTTTCATCTTTCTTCTGCCACACTGACCATATTACAGTACAGTCGGCCCTTAACATACGCAGGGGTTACGTAACAGAGATACCCGTGGATGTTAAAAATCCTCGTATATGTGCTGCCCCCCCCAAAAAAAACCTGGTCCCCCCATGTCCTTATTTACCGTATATACCTGTGTGTAGTTCAAGTTTTTAAGACCAAATTATTTGGCAAAAAATTGGGGGTCGACCTCTAAACGGGTAATAGTTTCGTTAGGTTGAAAAATATTTACCAGTAACTACCAGTAAACAATGGAAACGATGCACAAATGCACCACCAGCTGTGAGTGTCGGTACAGTTGCCAGGGCAGATCTCTTGCGTCATCATAGCAAGCCCAAAGTAGCCAAATCCATGGTATGGTAGCACAGGACGATGTAAAACCAAGTATTCATTTATTAAAGTTTATTTATAGATACTGTACATAAATTTTTGTTCATTACATTTGAAACTTCAATCTTTGTTAATTAAATTTGAAACAAAAGAAAACTACGATACCGTATTTTCATTAAAATATTACATCACAAGTATATTTTACCTTAGCTGACTGAATGAATATAGGTATTCTCAGAAATTAATATGGAAATATAATATTTTTGCTGGAATGACGTACATATTACAGTGGAAAGACGAAAACAATGACTTTCGCTTTCTTTCATTATTCAAAAGATTTTACCGTAATCGCTTTTTGAATGGTTTTCAGTTAAAAAACTGTTGTACTCGTACTGTATTACAATAATATTCTATCCTATCATTAGCCTTATAATCCCACAACTGAAAACCATTCGAAAAGCGATTACGGTAACATCTTTTGAACGAAAGAAAGAGAAAGTCATTGCTTTCGTCACAATTTTATCCCACTTTCCACTGTAATACGTACCGTACATCATTTCAGCAAAAATATTACATTTCCATGTTTTCAGAAATAAATGGTAGTTTTGTTGAAACGTAATGTACAATATTTAATATTAAAATGCAAAAATAGCTCTAAAAACAATTAATACACCCGTAATGTACTGGCTGGCATCTCCACGTGTCCCTGCTCCCGCGTCCAAGGTCACCACTCCTCCCAACTCACTCCCTCCGCTCCCTCCTCCACCTCCTCTGCCTCCTCCACCCCCTCTGCCTCCTCCCCGTCACTACTGCCGACAACGAACACAAATGTTTTGTGAATAACTGCACCTCCACTTCCTATGTACAGTACTGAACTGTACTGTGCTGTGCATTTTTACAAACAATAAACATGGCAAGAAAAGCTATTAAAAAAAAGAGATAAAAATTTCACTTTACTGTACAGTACCTATCCTCGGCGACAGGACGGGGGTCATCGGGCTCATTGTCACTCAATTCCATAACGGGTGGTGAAGTGGGGGCGACGGTGGATTCAGCTGCTTCCTCACTGCCACCAGTGATTGATGGTGTTAAATCTCTCCTTCGGTGATCAAAGAACATGGTGATGGGGAGTTGTCGTCTCTTTCTTTCATTTCTTCCATGATGTTTTTGTATGGAGCGAAAACGTCATCCATCCCTCTCATGAATTTCAGGGCACGCACCATGGAGGGGTCCATACTATAGGCTAGGTTTTTCAGTGCCTCATTATTCCTGGTCATCTCCCCCAACTTCTCCAACGTTATTTCTTGGTGCTCTTCCTCATCCTCTTTCCCTTTCGCTTTCTTTTCCTTGCCTGAGTCTACTAACTCCTGTAGATCCTCCTCGGTCAGCTCAATGTCATGCTCTTCAATTAGCTCCCTAATCTCGTCCTCTGCCATGTCCCGGAAGCCTTCAGCAACCACTTTCCTTGACAGTGCCAGGGTCTTTCTGAATATTTTTATTAAAATCCATCAAAATCATTTTCCTTGTCATCGTCTTGAGCACCAAACAGCTCCTCCCAGTCTTCTCCTTGAACAGGGCTAGAGGGTACGTGTTTTTCGAATCGTTTTCAATTAAAAAAATGTTACAGCACATGTATATTTTACCTAAACTGTGCCTGAATGAATATATTCTCAGAAATAAATAGTAGTTTTGCTGAAACGTGATGTATTTCAATGTAAAATAGGATAAAATACATGACGAAAACAAAAGACTTTACCTAACCTTCCAATGTTCAAGAGATGTTACTCGTTTTTTTAATAGTTTTCGGTTAAAATACTGTTATATTACAATGATATTATATTCATTCACGGAAATGTAATATTTTTGCTGAAATGACGTACGTATTACAGTGGAAAGTGACGAAAACAATGACTTAGCTTTCTTTCGTTCAAAAGATGTTACCGTAATCGCTTTTCGAATGGTTGTCAGTTAAAAAAACTGTTGCATCACAAGTGAATTAGGATAGAATATTATTGTAATACAATAGTTTTTTAACTGAAAACCATTCAAAAAGCGATTACGGTAACATCTTTTGAACGAAAGAAAGCGAGTCATTGCTTTCGTCACTTTCCACTGTACAGTCAATCCTCACATTACGCGGTCCCGCATTCCGCGTTTCACCGTTAACGCGGTGCCTTGCCAGAACCTAACATGCTCACATTCCGCGGTCGTGAACGCCATTACTCGGAGAGCGGCTGGCAAGCCGCGCCATTTTTGGATCCAAACCTCCCGCCATCCGCCATGTTGTGTAAGAGGCGCGAAAATGGTGCGCACAAGGTCGCCCAGTCATCAAAACATTTCCAGTTCTTCACCCGCCACCCACTACAACCGGCCCAAGTCAGTGATAGTGATAATTATAGTGAGGATATGGACTTATATGAACTTTGGGGGGTTTGACAAAGAGGCCCTGCAAGCCTCTGTGGTGGATAGTGATACAATTGATACAAGTGATACAGGTGAGGGCCAATAATCTGCCCTCTGCCTCGGAACCAACCGCCCATCCCCGTGTGCCCAGCCATCTTTTCTACTAATGTAAGTGTTAAAAAACCTAATATTATTGATATTTCTCTTAATTATTAATTGTGTGTGCATGCCATCATAAAGTTAAGATAATATTTTTACTACAACATAGTTGTGTGTCTTCAAAAAGTGGAGTTTGGGGATCGGCCTGGACTCCATTTCAATTAATCCCATATGTTATGTTGTTCACTTTACGCGTTCCTCACTTTCCGCGGTACCCTCCGGGTTACATTAACCGCGTAATGTGAGACCCAACTGTAATACGTACGTACGTCATTTCAGCAAAATATTACATTTCCATATTCTCAGAAATAAATAGTAGTTTTGCTGAAACGTAATGCATTTCAATGTAAATTAGGATAAACTACATGAAAACAAAAGACTTTACCTAGCCTTCCGATGTTCAAGATACGTTACTCGTTTTTTTTAGTAGTTTTCGGTTAAAATACTCTTATATTAGTGATATTCTATTCATACTGTGCTTGATATAATACATTCACGGAAATGTAATATTTTTGCAACTACAATGCTGATGTCAACACAAGCGTGGTTACAGCGAGACTGACTGAGTGAGGGAGAGCTATGCGTGTGTGTGTGAGGTTGCGGGAGCGGGCGGTGTCCCGTGTTCGGTGCCGCGCGCAAGTTGAATGGCGCGCGATTTGAATGTACTTCAATTACTTCAATGTACAGAATATTCCTCCGGCGGGGCAATCCGCGTATTTGCAAATCCGTGTATTATAAACCCACGTATGTTATGGGCCGACTGTATACAGTATTACCTATGCCAAAATAATTGGTGAGCAGTCAATTCTGTATATGGAAGTTTTCGGCATAAAACGAATCCGAAAAATTCGTTCAATATACAGTATGGAAAAAGTTCTGTATTTTTAGTTCAGATAAATTGTGAGAACATGGGAATTTTTTTTGTTATATAAAGTATAGTTTGGTAACACAAGAAAAAACATCATATATTATCTGTATGAGTGTATCTTGTGCGAGTTAAAGTAAATATTTGTAGTTTGTTAATTTCTGTAATATCTAGGATATGAGAATGAGTCGCAGTCTGACCTAAGTTCAAAAAATAATAAAAATGGAATCCATGAAGATTTTTTTTTATTTTGATTTCAGTCAATCAGAACAGTGTGCAACTCATAACATAACACACAACATCACCAGTCAGCTGTGTCCTGTGAGATGGCTTTGCATGATGTTTTTGTTACAGGAAAAAAAAAAACTTAAGATGAGGAATTTCATCACTCTAATGTGATTTAGAAATAAAGAAAATATCTTATAAGACGATAAATATAAAATAAGAAAAAATGAAGAACAGCGTGTTTATACTCTGGGAGGTGAATGAATGTGTTGAGTCAATGGGTGGTTGCTAATAGTGCATCTAGTGACTTATCTAGTTTGCCTATTTCAGTTTAAGCTAAGAACTAAAACATGTGCATTACAGTTTGTGTAATGTGATAGGAGGCGAATGTGTAATGGATATGATTTGGGTGTGTAATGGAGATAATGTGGATGTGTAGTAGATATGATGTGGGTGTGTAGTGGAGATAATGTGGGTGTAGTGGAGATAATGTGGATGTGTAGTGGATATGATATGGGTGTTTGGTGAAGATGTTGTGGATGTGTAATGGAGATGATGAGGATGTTTAGTGGAGATGATGCGGATGTTTACAGGATTTTCAGTGGACTGCGCCCAGAGTATCTAACAACAAACTTTGCAAGGATTAGGGATATGAACTGGCAGGACACTAGAGGGAGTGAACATAATTTTATGGTGCCTGGCGTCCGCAGTCAAGTAGAAAACACTTCCTTCTTTAGTGCTATAACAGACGGGAACAAGTTACTAGACCACATCAAAACCAAATATTATTATTATTATTAATTTTTACATTCCCCCAAATTCACTCACTAACATTTGTAATTTTCCTTGTGAATTCCCTGCTAGAATAGGGTTATTGTATCTAGAAACAGCAGTTGATTCGCTTTCCCATTGAAATCACATGTTGTTATTCAGCAAAGTTGCACCTTTCTCTATCATCGTTGCTTTCATTTCTCTAACTGCCCCATCTATGGTGACATTACATAACCTTTATTTAATTTGTGCTTTCACTCAGAACCAGTTTCCCGGTCTATTGAGAAAGCCATTTTAAGACCTGCTTCACTCCCTATAAAAATTAAGGACAGCATTCACAAGCTTCCTATTTACTCCAGACATTCAGCACTTCTCATATTGTATTTCTGTCAACTCTCTCATATACTTTTTCTAAATCCATAAATGCCACAAATAAGTTCTTGTCATCCAGAAACTTATCACTTCTTCAGTACTCTTCTGTCATACATTGCCCATATTGTACTGTGCACAGTTTTCATCCACTCTAATTATACTTGTCATCCTTATCATTCCATCTATGATTCCATCCACTTCTGATGCCTTACCATTCTTGAGCTCACTATACTTGCAATTAATTATGGCATTATACCTACAGTGCCTATGATGGAACCCGTTGAAGATCCATCAGTCGTGCACTGTGTATCCCGACGTCTTGGTGTTCCTCCATACTTGTTGGTGGCCTCAGTTCTGGTTCTGGTTCTCTTTACGGTGTATGTGATTTTTGCAGTGTGTACCACAGCCACTCCTCCCAAGGCCAAGGCTTATGCGGTGAGTTAAATTTATTGTAATTCTTAACTACAGTTCTACCTGGTATCAGTATTAGGAGCAATGCAAGATGATGAGCGCTTGTTGATATTTAAGATTGAACAGTATCAGGGGAATTTCTCACTACCTCAAGTTGTGATCTAATTTGGCCTTTGTTTCTAAAATAAGGAGCTGTAACTGATAGAATTTCAGGTGTTTAAATAATTTACTAATTTGGTGTGAAAAAATAATAAGTAAAACTTGTCGAGGATTACTTTTGTTATTAGTTAGATACCTGAAGCTTGTATGTAACATTGAAGCATTTTGTCACCCATCAGAGTGGACTAAGTGTACAGGCAGATCCCATTCATATGCCAGTGAAATTAGTGCGACCAGAGGACCTGACTCGACTTAGTCTTACAGAAGAGGAAGATCTGCAGGCACCACCACTCCCTACAAAGGTTAAACTCCCAGACTCTGTCATTTAGCCACAGTTGCTACAAATGGGAACAATAATTATAGGTTTGGCAATTTAACTAGATTATACAGTATACATACTGGTATATATATATAATCACACCTACTTTTTTCCTTAATCACATTAATCACTACTTTTTTCTTCACACTGAAACAGGATTGTGCTACAGTTTTTATTTAATTTATACAGTAGATAATCATTTTACCGTGCTTAAAAGGCGGTTCACTTGCATGGTTAAGCCCTTAGCCAGGTTGCCCCCCTCCCCTCCCAGGAGAAAAAATTGAGAAAACGAAGCTTCTAACACAAATATGCGAGGGTGTGTATCGCCACCAATATTATTCTATTCCTGCTTGTTTAGTGGCTAACTATAATATCTTTCAGGCATATAACTCAATAAATGTCTGTTTGTCAGGGTTGAGGAGTGGTGGTGTTAATGTTGTGGGGGGCTAACTTCATGGGAGCTGTGTGGCTGGGCTGTGTGCCCCCAGTTACATGCACCCTGCTTACAAATATTTATGGCACTTGATACAGCTCATAACTATTGGTATATATAATAAATGTAAGCATACATTGTTTTCATGCTTGTATGTTTTAAATTACCCAAATTCAGTAGCTGCATCAAGTGCCATAAATATTTATAAGCAAAGTAAATTTCCCCAGGCACAGTCCATGTGGCTGGCTGCCTACTGCAAAGTTGCCACATTGTTTATTTTTCTTATATCTACTAAATAACTCAATACAATAGTGCGATGAAAAATTTAAAACTTGATAAAAATGATAAGTGCGTGACTAGTGTTAATTTGCCGAGCCAACCTTTATAAAGCAATCAATTATATTAAAGAGTGTGTGGTTTTGGACTGAATGCTATCGCTTCAACCCTTCGCACGCCAATTTCCGCACGCACTGCGGTGGGAATTTGAAAATTAATTATCTTCCATACATGTTTAAGAGGTGTTTGATGTGGTTAAATAGTAATATCAGTTTCAATTAATAAAGCACAGTAAAACTCTGCCTTGAATAAACAATTGGTGGTAAAATGATCGTCTACTGTATGTCTTTAAAGAAAGTTTAATTTATTTCACATTCAAAATATTCTTCACCTCTTTTCAGTTCACTTTTCTTGATGTATTAAGTAACCAGCATAAATAGAGCTATGTGTTAAGTAGGTAAAATACATGTTAGGAAATGGCCTTATTGTACAATAATTAAAGATTTAAAGTATTTTCTTCACTTGATAGATAACTGGAACTTTTTTTTGAGTGAGTATAGTATTTTAAGGGAGTTTTGGATAGTATCAATTTACTTATGCTTTGGATTTCACACATTGTATATAGAGGATATATAACAATTTGCATTCCTGGTAAAACACGTGTAACTGCTTCCAGTCATAGTAGTATAAAAAATTGCAATGTCCTTAAGTGAAATGTTATCAGATTTACTCTTGATGGCTTAAATTTAAGTACTGTACAGTATTTGTATGCAATAAGATAGTTCAAAAGAGGGAGAGAGAATAAGCCGCAATGTCAGATCAATAATAGTGTTGGCAATCATGTTAATACAAATTCCTTGAAACAGTCTTGATGCTTAAAGTGAGTAAATCAATGGGTTTTAAGATGGGTAATGCCTATGCTTTATTTATTTCAGCTTTCTGCTAAGTATTGAATTTGCATTTGTATAGATATTGCCAATTTTTCATAAGACAGAACCAGTTACAGTATTACCAAAGTTAGTGTTATCAGATTTTTATATTTATTATAGATGTGCCATTTTATTTGGTGTAACATTTTTCTCAATACAGTATACTCTTGATTTAATGGAATCCGATATAATGAACTCGATTTAGTGGAAGGCATTTTTCCATTATGTTTTTGCTCGATTTAGTGAAATAGTTAGCTAAATCGAGATTAATTCCATTAAGACACTCTCACCTATGGAGACACCTCAGACATGATACATTAAAACCTATTTCAGCCTATGGCAAATGTACTAAATGTATAAACATGATAAATAATGAAATAAAAAACCCCATATAAGATGCTCCCCCCATTTTAGCAGGGAGTATTTTGGAAACTGGTATCAGTTACAAAGTTTTTACATTTTGTCTTTATTCAGGACATTTTCAGAGGCAACTGAATTTACACACCCTCCAATGCCACCAACACACACCCTCCAACACCACCAGCATACACCCTCCAACATTTGTTATTATATACAGTATTCTCGTATGATCAGCCTCTTATGGTTTATGTTTTAACATTGATAATATAAAATATTAAATACTACTACAGTATAGAAAAAATACAATATATAATCATTAATTTGCATAGAAATGAAATGAGGTAAAAATAAGTATTTTACTGTATATGAAGGGAACTGGTATTAATAAGCTCAAATTATTAATGTATCTCTTAATAAATGTTTTTGAAGTTAAACAATTGATTTATTAACACCAAACTTCTATGTAAATGATGTGTGTGTATGTGATGTCACATGAGGGAGAAAGGGAGAGCTCCTCAGTTATCAGGCGGCTCAAGGCCAGAGCCGCCACCACACACACACGTGCACCTCACTCTCTACCCACCCATGTTCTTTAATTTTCCTTATTTTATAGTTTTATATTATATTTATTTCTAAGCCACATTAAGAGTATTTTAATGATTTTTCTATGACTTAGATCATTAATGCTCTGGAATTGATTGATGAAAAGTGGCTCTGTGTGTGTGTGTGTGTGTATTAAGCTGCAAGTGCCGTTACAGGAATATAATAGTTACCCCTAAAACCTTCCTCGCAGTTTTCTGTGATCAAATCTAATAGTTGAAATATAATAGTTACCCCTAAAACCTTCCTCTCATCAAAACAACACCTTTTTATTCTTCTTCTTCTTCTTCCTCTCGTCAAAACAAAAAGGAAAGAATGAAAGATAGAGGGAAGAAATAAAAATTGGAAGGGGGGTTTTTATGGCCCCACTCCCCAACACTAGCCCCCCTGGAGACTACTCTTCTGAAGTAATTTTGGATGCCACCAATTTTGTACGAGTTACATGAATTTATGTAATTACATCATTAATTACAGGAATAATCAAATAAGCTTTTAATACCATACTCTACTTTATATTTACTAATTAATAGCATTATCAGAAAGAATAAACCTTCACACCAAACTAATTAACTGATTAAATATTATAATTACCCCTGGTTTGCATTGTGATGAAATATAAGTTACCCCTAAAACCGTTCGAGAAGACGGTAGGATTTCACCGCCCCAGAAGACGGTAGGATTCTGCCCCTGAAGGTGGTAGAATTCCCCCCAGAAGACGGTAAGATTCCGCCTTAGAAGCTGGTATGATTCCGCCCTAGAAGACGGTAGGATTCCACACTAGAAGACGGTAGGATTCTGCTTTTTAAGATGGTAGGATTCCGTCTTAGAAGGTAGGATTCTGTCTCAGAAGAAGGTAGCATTCCTCCCCAGAAGAAGGTAGGATTCCGTCCCAAAAGACAGTAGGATTCCGTCCCAGAAGACGGTGACTGCATAATTAATTACTAAATTGTCATTGAATAGAGTACAGGTGTTCCTCTACTTACGAACGAGATACGTTCCTGAGGCTTGTTTGCAAGTCCAATTGTTTGTAAGTCCAACTTTACTCTTGTAGATACCAACATATTGTAAAAATTGAAAAGATTATGGATATTTAATACAGCTATACCCTTTAATACAGCCTTAAAACCTCAGGGCCGGATTCAGGAGTGGGTAAAGTGGGCAGCTGCGCAGGGGCCTCCACATATCAAGGCTGGTCAACTTGAAACCACATGAATGACTCCAGTCATGTCTCACTTTTGTGTGTGTGTGTGTGTGTTGGGAATTTGTACACTATCAATAAATATACAATTAATTAAAAATTTCTCAATGTTCTAATTTCCTCAATATAACTGCATATGGCTTGAAAATTCTCCAAAGAAGTGCTCAAGTTTCAAAATTTTCCCGGGGGGCTTACAGCGCCCCCCGGAACTCCCAGATATTTAGGCTCGCTTCACTCGCCACCCCACCCTTTTGGGTAGTTATATCGAGGGGGGCCTTCACAAAGAGGCTGTCCATGGGCCTCCACAGGTCTAAATCCGGCGCAGTAAAACCTGACTCACTCTTCTCCTATTAGGTAATGTTTGTTCTATCTGGAATTTTCTTCAAAATTATCCAGTCTCATCCACATTAAACACTGTTCTGGCAGGTGACCCCTCTCAGTGATGATGTTTGTATCTCTGAAAGTTTGTAAATTGAACGTTCTTAAGTAGAAGAGCACCTGTATAGTAAAATGGCTGTGATAAATAAATCCAATATTGCTTTTTAATTTTATTAAGACAAAACATTTTCCTTGGAGAGCAAGACAGCCCTTGGGAGGGGCAAGCCAGGTCTTGAGGGTGCCCCCTACCCCCCCTATATTCACTTTTTCGGACGGGTCTGCCCCAATTAGTCCTATTTATCGAGGTTCTACTGAAGTTCGTTAAATAAAGAAAATACTGTATGGTACTTGGCGTTTTGTGGATTTGCTACACAATGAAATGATAAATGTTAAAATGTATTTCTGTAACCGGTTAATGGCTATTTATTAGTAGTACGTTTTAAAGAAATGAAAATATGCAATGTTTTATGATTTCATTTGCTGTTAGTAAAATCTCTTCTGACGATTCCTCCAGAGAAACAATAATGAGGAAAGAATATGAACGTCATTCAGTGACCAGTAAAGATTATAATAATACAATAGAAACACTATACATTTATTGCTGAAATTAATTAGATTATGAAAAATTTATCTTGCATGCTTTCCAGAGTAATATTTGATGCCATTCACTGTTGAACCTCGAGCATACTTTGTTAACAGGGCACTTACAGGTGTCTTGTCTCCAGCCAAGTCTCTGCAAAAAAAAGTACAAGGAAGAAGACATTAACAACTATGGGCAGAGCATAATTTATGTTTTAATTAATTTAAGGCCCTACCCCATACACAAGTGGTTAATACATTTTTTGCTCACTTAAAATTTCTCTCATTTCTTATTTCCTCTATACATAAAATCAAATTTATTTTCATTCCCGCAAAGAAAATTTCCACCACATCGTAAGCAAAACATAGTGTACAGTCCTTGGCTGTAACACAATGCTGCAGTATCAGGGTGTCTATTGGTCAAACAAAACAAAATTCCCAGACTTTTCCAGGTTCTCCAGGTGTAAATTTGAAAATTTCCAGGTATATTAATTTGGTATTTATTATGACAGAATAACAAAATTAGAGGTTTTTAATACAGGCATCCACCGCGTTACGGAAGCCCAGGTTACGGAATTTCGCTCTTACGGAATTTGTAAATTATGACCAATAATTTCGCGTTACGGCCCGCAAATCCGCCCTTATGGAAATTGGGGGTAAATTTTAACAAACACAAGCCCTCACACATGCCATTCAGACTGACAGACTTGACAAGTTTTACCAACCATAAAGACAGTTGAAGCTTTAAACATCACTCACAATGGATCTTGAATACTCCAACTGTAATCAGACATACCTAAGTTGCCTCAACAATTGCAACCCCAGTTGCAATATCAAATTCTGTGTCACTACTACAAAATAATAGTCTCTGGTGCACTCTTAAGATTAAGAGAAAACGGACGACTCAGGAGTGCTGAAGTTAGAGAAAACGGGCCACTCAAATAAACATACACATAGCTGTATAATGCAATAATATGCAATATTAACCCCTAAATTGGTGTTTTAAGAAGGTATATCATAAATTATTTAATGTACTGTATTGTATGTGTTTATAAATGTTTATTTTCATTCATAAAAGTGCTTGAATTACTTTTTTGGGGCCGAAAAAATTCCTTACGAACGCATCTCCAGTTTTATAATGGAAGTCAATGGGAAAAATAGGTTTCGCGTTACGGAATTTCACGATACGGTCTATTTTCCGGGAACGGAACCCTTCCGCAACGAGGGGGATGCCTGTACCTGTATGTATGGAAATTTAAAGACGATATAAATGATAGTAATCCAGAAATTTAAGGCCCCTTTATGACCTACCCTAAAGCCTAGTGATGAACATTGGTAAAGACCTTGACATCCCCCCCCCTCCCCATTTTTCTCCTCGGAATTGTGGGATTCATGTGGGTTGACCTGGAAGTTTCGAAAAAGCTGGAAATCTGACAAAAAACGAAGAATAACACTCCTAATCCACCTACAGTATATGACTTATAAATTAATACGTGGGATAATCCGCTTAAATAAAGACATTTAATTATAAGAACAATTCATCTCTGACAATACTCATTGCAGAATCAGTAGCTATAGCCTGTAATACTTGGTTAATTGATCGCTAACATGAAATATGATAGACACACAAACAATTCAGTTACTGGAGTGGACTATTTAATGGAATTTGTTCCTAAAAGTTTAATTATTTACCTATTATATAGTACCTCATTAATTTATGGTGAGATTGCTGTCAAAATAACAATATTTTGAAGTTGAACTGAATTGACATAAAATTCCAGGCTTATTTGTAAAAATCCCTGACTTTTCCAGGTTTTACAGCCCCAAATAAAATTCCCTGCCTTTACCAGGTTTTCCAGACCAGTACAGTATACACCCTGAGTATAATACGAATAAATTTCATCATCATTAGTCACAAAAAATTACATATTTTCATTTTATCATAACTCTTATCACAGTACTACTGTATATTTATATGGCAAGAGACACTGGCTTATGTATAAGAAGTACATATCTTTTAATGTAAATTAATGAAATACTGAGAGAGAACCACCCCAATGTTACCAGCCCAAGCAGCAAGTGGTTGTTCCAATATTTTAAGTGGGATAAGAGCAACACATAAATCAACATACCTACCACAGGCAGGGTATCCACATTGCTACACAGATCTACAAACAGCTCCAATTTTGAACACTTTTAATGTAGCTAATACTGTATAATACATTAACAATACAATAACACTTACTCTACATAAGGCCTGATTTCCTCAAAAGACCATTTTTCTCTGGTCTCAAAGAGGAGGTTGAATCTCTTTTGTATGTCGTGTGGAAGACTAGTGACAGGGAAGTAGAAGATGGCATCTGAAGTTGCTGAGCGGTCCACCAGTGCAAGTCCTTCAAGTTGGCTCAGACTCGTTGTTAACCCTGCGAATAACGATACCTTGTTTGAGGAGTTCTATGACTGTTCAATGAACTAAAATAATGTAGTGATTCCAGAACTTTAAATATGTATTGTATTTTAACCAATTTGTTATACTGTTGCGTGGAACACCAACCTAGAAATACTTGCTTCACTCTGCTCCCTACAACACAAAATTCAACACCTACGGTACCTTCAGGAACACTCTGTTGCCAAATATTGAGGAACTCCGTAAAGTTGTATTTATCTGCGGACTTCAACAAAACTTCAGCACAGAGACGACAGACCTTATCATCATGTAGTGTGTACAGTGTATCTCCTGCAAGAGGGAGAGAATTAAATTTACAATAAATGCACAGTACAACTCAACACAGAATCAATAAATCTTGTGTGCAAAACACATAAATTACATTTTATTTATCAAATTCTTGTTACATTTTAGTATGGGATTATTTTGTAACAATAAAGGGGACAATTATTTGTGTTAATAACCAAATCAAGCACTTTTTATTTTCTAATGAATATGTAATGAACATTTTCTACTCAGTTACTTTTGTTCTTCCTGCTGATAAAAGTTTGGGAGTCTGTAAGTTCATCCATACACTCATGTAATTTATGTTCTTGAAGTACTGTCTTTTTAGCATCTACATATCCAGTAGGAAGAGTTACTACTGCTGGATTTCAAGATGTAGTCCAAGTACACAATCAAGGGTCATAAGAGCCCTGAGTGTCAACCTGTTGATTTGTTGATGCAGTACTTGAGTCACCCAATCCACTGCATACGATGTAAAATACGTATTACAAAATACACTCCAGTATTATGGTATTTAGATATGTCTGACACAAGTGAGGTGGTGTCTACCTACATAAAACATATCTGGATTTGCCTCACCCTCATCTGTATCTTTGTCTGTGGGCTTGAGGTAATAATCAAAGCACTGCATCATAATAGTGAGAGGCTCAAGTTCACTCAGTGCCTTGATGGCTTCCATACGAGGAATTCCGTCTAATGGCCATGACTTTGACTCAATCAAAGCGAGGATGTGTGAGACCACTTTGAAATGGTAATCAAATTCCAATAGTTGCCAAAATCCTGGAAAAAGAAAAAAAAAGAATCTTAGATGTAATGATACCAAGAACTGCACATCTCTCACTCTCGATACAGTGAGTATATTACATCAGTCTTACATTACATAGGGAGAAACTCATCCCTTGCATCAAGTGAACCAAATATTAACCTTACCATACAAATGATAAGCTTCCACCTCCTGCAAAGCTTTGTCCAGCTCCTCCTCACTGCACTGAACTCTGTCCAGTAGGTCACTCAATGTGTACCTGTAAATATGAAACTACTGTATTGCTCAAAAGAAAGAAAAAAATCCTATTAATGTATCTACAGTGAAACCTCTATTTAAGGGACTACGTATATGGAGAGGAAAGTCTGTTACATCGAGGGTCCATTAGATGTGAAACCCCCATCTAATGGATTCCACTATACCTTAACTGAAGCTTTCTGTCAGTTAAGAAAATACAGGGTGAGCATAAAGTCTTTCCCTGATTACAAACATTTATTTCACAAAACATATGCTAGGTACAAACATACAGTTTTTTGCAGCTTAAAATATGCATGAAAAAAATCTATGATTTCATCTACACAATGCTATAACATTCATGTTTCTATTTAAAATGGTCTTCGAGATATGATTTTTCATTATCAAGGAAAAACTTTATGCTCACCCTGTATATCCATGACTTTAAATAATATAAATATGCAAACATTTTATTTTAGCTAATTGGGGAATGTCAGTCCAATAACAATATAGTATTCTGAAACTGGATGGTTTCCCTATTGAGATCCTGTTTTATTTGACTACAGCAAGATCACTACCCTCATGCCTGCCTCAGCTAATGTCTTGTTCTCTACAGTATTTCAAGACAAGATAATGATTCTAATATATTAAAATCTAGTTCACTAACCTTACTTTTTCCAAGTTGAAAGGAAAGTGTATATTGATGGTTAAGAAAGTTAGAGTACAAAATTTATTTCAAGCTCAGCATTGTCTATAAATCCTACCATTGGTCTGTCAAAAGAAGTCACCAGGTCCCTTTGTGCTGCAGCAAAGTCCACGAGGCAACTACTCTGGACAGTGATAAAATACTGTTAACTGGACACATCTGTGATCTTATGATAATCTACCTATTAAATCTGGTTAGAAATCATTGGTACAGGGGGGGGTTTGTATTTGTTTAATTTAATACATTCACAAGAGGCAAATGTTCAGACAGACAAACACACAGATACAGGTATATGTGTTCCTCATCTCAGGAGTAGTGGAGGATACTCGAAAGTGACCATACCTATTGTCTTTGCCATCTTGGTTTTTCTCCTGTTGGCCTGAGTACGGCTGTTCTTCTAACAACTGGCGTAGCTTCTGGACACGAGGCTTACACGGTCGGACCTCCAGAAAGGTATAGTGGATGCCACACACCTGCCAACAAGTTTCCTTCATCATAACAGTTACAGCAGCCAACAGTATGGCATCATAGCAGTTGAGAGAGAAAGAGGAAAGGGAGAAAAAGAGGAAAGGGAGAAAAAGAGGAGAGAGAGAAAAGGAAAGGGAAGAGAGAAATACATCTACAGAATATTCCATGTATGCAGGACTTGTAAGTATGGCTCAGAAATGGTTTGGATCATTTGATCAAAGCTTCAATTATTACAAATTAAAAGATTGGCCATGCTTGATGAACATCTTCCTACCACAACCAAAATATTGCCTCATTTTTTTAGGTACAAGTGGCAATAACAGCAGTCTAAGTCATAAAGAAACAGAAGTAAAACACATTAAGAGTCTAGGATGATGGAGACACCCACAAGTTCACTACACACAAATAATAAGAAACAATAAAAGCATCTCACCTGCCGGCTATGCAGTGTTCGTTCCCCTGTGTCCTCTCTACTGGGTGTGGTCAGGTTCGGTATCAACACCATAGAATTTGATGTTTCAGCATATCGCACCTAAAACATTAAATTTGCTCTTGTGAAATACTGTACATGATGAATAAATCAATACAGTATATTAATAACTGGCCATGTACTGTACCAGTATTTGACCATTTTACTAAAACATCAATACTGTACTTTCATATGATTTTCACATTTAATGCTTTGTGTTATATTACAGGGTACTGTAAAAAATTTAGGCATACATTCAAAATATTGTATTAGGTATATGAGAGGCATTTCTGTATCTTGTGATTATGTTTAAAATAAAGATTTTTATCAATGAGCTGAAACAAAAATCCTTTAGTCCCATTGTGACTGTTGATGCATCTAATCTGGCCAATAATTACACCAGTCCATCAATGGTAAGAGAAAAATAAATTGAACTTCTAATATTAGCTTTGGATTATCCAGGTCAAAACTGTAAGCTTTGGGGGTAACCTAAATATGATGCCATATTAAAAAAAAAATCTTGGCAGAGTACAGTAATACATTTGAATATTTACAAGGAATACAAGCAGTCACATGCATTATCTACTTTTCATTCATTAAAAAAAACCCCACATACTTCATATGTTTTGCTTTTGGTACATAACATGGCTCCTTCCTCTGGCTCGCCTCGCAACACAGCACTGAAATATTAAAAGTAAAAGAAAAGTAAAAATATCCTTGAATATCAGCCCTTCTCTTGGTGAAGAACTTTATAGACAAATGGCTAGAAAGGACTAACACTGATGACCTCCAGCTAATGGTGGAGGAAGCATAAAAGTGACTATAAAAATGTACCAATTCCTCTCCAGCATCCTGTTATTGTAAACTAAAAGACACACCACCTGAACAAACCATATGAGCTACAGAGAATGGCCTGGGAAATCCTCATGTTCCATCACCTCCAAATTTAACACATCATCATCATCAAGCCCAAAATTTACATACACCCACTTATGAGCAAAAGCTCTAATGGACCAATACAACACAAGCTTACCTCTCCTCTTTGATACTGTCCAGTAGTTTAGGGTCCAGTTCCAGCAACACCACCTCATCTTTGTCGTCCCCAAAGTCTGATGAAAATTCCAGCATTTGTGTAGCAGGGAGCAGTTCATCTTCTGTTAGCTTGGCATGGTGAATTAACTTCTTCACGTCCTCCAGTGTTCTGAGAAGCAATACACAATGGAACTTATGATAAAGATATGAGGAGAGAATAAACAATGTCAACACAAACATAAACATGTACTGTGCTCACAACTCACAATGCTTATATAAACCATACTTTACCAAGATAAGTTAAGTATCATGAAAAAAATATGGAATATGAGAACAATATTGGCACAATAAAAAAAATCTGTTTACCCCTTTACTTCAGGGACAACACAAAAATATATACAGGGGGGTATACTGTATATACTGTACTGTATACAGTGGTCCCTCAGTTAATGGGCACAATCCGTTCCAGCAGGTTGCTCGTTAACCGAAACCATTGTTTCAATGGGTTTTTGGGTAATTGGTTCCAGCTCACCGAAAATTGCCTAAATTCAACAAAAAAGGTAGAAAAGTACACTTACTTTGAGGTGTGTATGTAGAAGGCTCCTGGATGATGATGATGATGATGATGGGAATTAGAATGGGGGTGGAGGAGAAGGGAGAAGAGAAAACAAAGGGCGGGAAGAGAAGTCACCCCATGGCGCCATTTCACCCATAAAATTTTAGTTCTCTTGGTGTAATTCAAGATTATTTTCTTTAAATAAACACTGCACTGCATTATATATTGTCAATATGTAAAATAAATTTCAGAATGACCAATAATTTGCTTGCAAACACAGAAATAAAGCGTTTAGTTGAAGAGAGTCTCAAGCAAGATGTTACCTCCACTGAAAAGACAGAGAGACTGGCGCCTGTTTGGTGTGTTGCCAGGCTGGATGGCGCGCATGAAACTAGTATCCTTACCTTCAATTATGTATATAATAATTGTTAAAATGACTAAAAAATTTAATATTAAACTTTTAAAATTATTGAATAGTAAAAACTTCTTGATATATACTAAAATAGTAAGGAATTTAAGCCCTCAAACCTATTACTGTATTGGCGGACTAATACTACAGCTGGTGGACCGCCAAATGCAAGCGAAAACATGTTGAGGTCGGCTCGTAAGAAACACGTTAATCGAGGGATTGCTCGATAACCTTAGTTAAGAATCTTATGGAAGGTAACTCGTTACCGAAATCTTGTTAACCGAGGCGCTCGTTAACCGAGGGATCACTGTATACACATATATTTTTTTTTTTACGGGGATTAGCCCACCTGGGCACAGGTCACTGACCCACATTGGGGCCTGGAGGGCGAAAATGTAATAATAATAATAATAATAATAATAATAATAATAATAATAATAATAATAATAATAATAATAATTATAAAATCCATCTTGGCAGATATTGCAAGTCATTATCAGTCCCATTCATTGACAACTGGGACAGCTTCTACGGCAGAAAGGACCTTTATGCTAGGGGTGGGGTGCACCTGTCTCGGGATGGGGTGGCAACCCTGGCGGGGTCTCTAGAGGGGGCAGTTCAAAAGATATCGAAGTCTTTAAACTACTAGGGGAACATATGGGCACGGGGGTGGAGGAGACTGCAGTGGGAGCGGGTAAACAAAGTAAAAGGTTCCAGGGAAATAGTGTTAGGAATGATGACAAAACTAAATTAGACAGAGAGTTAAGACCTAAACGCGGTAAAGGGAGGACTCAGAACCCGACTAACCTAAATGTCTACTACGCGAACAGTAGAAGTATGAGAAACAAAATGGATGATATTAGGGCCTTGGTATGTACTGAAAAAAATCGATATACTAATAGCATTCACTGAAACATGGATCAACCTAGACTCACGTGAGTTACCTATCGAATACCAAATTGCAGGTTACAATTGTTCCATACTGACAGGCAGACCAGGAAAGGAGGCGGAGTAGCAGTCTATGTCAGGGATAACCTGAAGTGTGAAATAAACAAGGAAATAAAAACTGAGCGGAATACAGAAACAATTTGGATAGAATTAATCGACAGTAGAGAAAAATTAATCACAGGAGTAATATATAGACCTCCCAATCTTGATAGAGTTAATGAGCGACTTATCTGGGATGCAATGCGCAGGGCTTCCATACACAACAAAGTCAGCATAGTAGGCGACTTTAACCTTGGCCAAATAGATTGGACTGACCTTACGGGTAACTCAGAATCAGAGGATTTTCTCGAAACGATCCAGGACTGTTTCCAAAGTCAACATATAACCGAACCCACCCGGGGTAATAATATACTCAATTTAGTTCTGTAGAACAGAGAAAACCTCATTAGCAATGTCGAGGTAGGGAACGAACTTGCAAACAGCGATCACAAAGAAATTAGATTCCAGTTAGATTTTCAGGGCAGACGAAAGGAAAATTCCACTAAAGTGCCAGATTTCAGAAGGGCAAACTTTGATAGTTTGAAGAGGCAGTTGAGGGAAGGGGTATGACGCCTGGGGGTGACTCACACCGACCTCACCCCACCCACAAACCTGACGGTTGACACCGACCTGATAACGAGATCTGAGATTGCCGAGTTCCACGACAATTTAAATAATGAGTTACTTAATGCACAAAGGCAGAACATACCATACAAAAAGCTCAGATCAGACAACAAAGACCCTAAATGGATAAATAATTATTTAAAGAACATTATTGGCCAAAGGAAGGCTATAAGTAGAAGGATAAATCGTGGCGAAATTTACCTCCAGGATTATTATAAGGTATTGGCGAGTAGGGTTAAAACCGAGATAAGGAAGGCCAAGAGGAATAATGAGGTAAGGCTAACAAGGGAGGCGAAGACAAACCCCAAAGGATTCTACCAAATGCATCAAACTAAAACACGAGAAAAGATTGGACCAATACGGTCAGATACCGGCGAGCTCACTGACAACGACGGAGAAATGAGCAATAATCTGAATAACTAATTTTCAACAGTTTTCACCACCGAAAATTTAAACATGATACACGAGGCACCGACTCTATTCAGAGATAGTGAAGAAAACAAATTAAGCGAGATAGTAGTGACTAGTAACGATGTTAGTAAGCAAATAGACAAACTAAAGCCTAATAAGTCACCTGGTCCCGATGAGATATTTGCTAGAGTATTAAAGGAAGGTAAGGAAGAGCTTAGTATGCCCTTAGCAAAGTTGTTTAACATGTCCTAAAAAACAGGTGTAGTACCAGAATCCTGGAGGATTGCGAATGTAATACCAATTTTCAAGAAAGGGGATAGATCACTATCCTCTAACTACCGCCCAATCAGTTTAACATCAATGGTAGGCAAATTACTGGAAGCAATCATTTCAAACTCTATTCGAAATCACCTGGAGAAGCACCGATTGATCAATGATTTCCAGCATGGCTTCACAAGCGGGCATTCATGTCTAACTAATCTATTAACATTCTTTTCATCAGTTTTCGAATCGGTGGACGAAACAAGGCTAATAATGTACTTGGGTTCATACAAAGGAGTGTTAGTTACAAGACTAGCGAGGTCATCCTAAAACTATATCTTGTGCTTGTGAGACCTCACTTGGATTACGCAGTTCAATTCTGGTCACCGTATTACAGAATGGATATAGAATCCATGGAAAGAATTCAGAGGAGAATGACAAGACTAATCCCGGGCATTAGGAACCTTGAGTGCAGAGACAGGTTAAAGCATCTTAATTTGCACTCCCTCGAGAGACGTAGAGTGAGAGGCGATATGATAGAGGTGTATAAATGAAAGTCAGGACTGAACAAAGGGGACATTACAAAGGTACTCAAACTATCCAACCAGGAGCGAACTCGTAACAATGGTTTTAAATTAGACAAATTTAGATTTAAGCGCGAAATTGGTAAACACTGGTTTGGTAACAGAGGAGTGGATGAATGGAACAAGTTACCAAATATCATCATTAACTCGAATACGCTGGATAGCTTCAAACATAGGTTGGATGCTCATATGAGCAATAGGGGTTGGGTGTAAATGGGACTGCCCAGTAAGGCCCGCTGCAGTTTCCCCCATTCTTATGTTCTTATGTTCAAGAGACAGTGTTTCACGTGATGTACACCCCCTGTAGACCCACCTTGGGGGATCCGTATAAATGTGAGGAGACTAAGTTAATAGAGAATTATGAAGATTGTTAATGGTATTCAAAACAATTAGAAGAGAATGGAATTAGTCTAAAAGATCCTGTAAAAGTAAAAATATGACACATTATTTATTGGTTCTATATTGTTGAAATGAAAAAAAGAGAATGCATTTAATAACTAAACAAAAGAACAATAGACCTGTATTAACGGAATGTAAAGTTAATAAAGTTGCATATTTATTTTATTTAAAGGATCAGGATTAATGGCACAGAATTTATACAGGTTGTCAACAATGAACAATGGCAAAGCAGGAATATTGTCACGCTGGACTCATTAAAGGGAAGAAAATTATTTTTGGCATTACAAATGCACCTAGAGAAGTAATTTTAATGCCATAACATCAGTGTTCGCAGTGTTTTTACCCAGTAATTTCCCTCATCCTTCATGCCTTGCCCACTAACAAGGAATTTATGATCGTAGGATAGAGTTAATGAAAATAAAATCTTTAAAAATACTTAAAATTATAATATAATGTTGTCGTTTCTTTTAATATACTATCCAAAATCATTAAAACAATAAGAATAGGAAAAATAAAGAAAATCAACAAACAACTTCTGGTGGTAGCCATTGTCTACACCTTTACTGGTTCTAGTAAATTTCGTCTCTTTTAAAATACTTGCTATAACAATAGGAACATGTTAGAAAAATGAACGAAATCAAACAACTTCTGGTGGTAGGGGTCTGACTAGTTACCCAAATGTATCCAAATGTAGCCGCAATGAAGTCAAATAATGGTCCTACATGAATAAATCGGACTGCCAATCACTTCTCGACTAGTATTTGGTGTCACAAAGTCAAAAAGAAATTGGAAAACTTAATTTAATCTGAGTTAATAGACAGCGTGCATGTACCGAGGGAGCGAGTAATTACCCAAATGGACCCAAATGTAGCCAATATGAAGTCAAATGATGGTCTTACATGAATAAATCGGACTGCCAATCACTTTTCGATAATTATTTGGTGTCATAAAGTCACAAAAAATTGGTAAACTTAATTTAATTTGAGTTAATAGATCGAGTGCATGTACCTAACCTAACCTAACCTAACCTAACCTAACCTAACCTAACCTAACCTAACCTAACCTAACCTAACCTAACCTAACCCAACTCAGATTAAATTAAGTTTACCAATTTTTTGTGACTTTGTGACACCAAATACTAGTCGAGAAGTGATTGGCAGTCCGATTTATTCATGTAGGACCATTATTTGACTTCATTGCGGCTACATTTGGGTAATTACTCGCTCCCTCGGTACATGCACGCTGTCTATTAACTCAGATTAAATTAAGTTTTCCAATTTCTTTTTGACTTTGTGACACCAAATACTAGTCGAGAAGTGATTGGCAGTCCGATTTATTCATGTAGGACCATTATTTGACTTCATTGTGGCTACATTTGGGTAATTAGTCGGACCGGGTGGTAGTGGTTCTCAGAAATTGCCATTTTTTTTTTTGTAAAGTTTCTGGTTATTGAGGGACCATGACCTTGAGTATTACCCCTCCCCAAGGGAGTGGTTTGATTAAATAGGTTATCATAATACTTTTAAGATTAAACAAGATGTCGAGAACAATTCTCACCTGTCTATACAACTCATTTCCACCTGCTGTCACTTCAGATCTACTAGTAAGTACAATTTTTATTCGTTGATTAGTTACATTCTTTTATATCTTCCGTTGTTAATGTTACTCGAGCCTGTCTTAATTTATTTCTCACTGGTCTTTAAATTTCGTGGTTTTCTGTTAGTAAATAAACCGTCACTGGCGTCACAAGTACCAAGGCCAACATTATTTACATTATTTTCTATTTTCTGATGATGCTAACAACCAAATGTAACTTCAATAAACAGAAAATAATACTTTAAAGATTAAGTGATTATTTTAATTGAGTTAGCTTGGTTATTATAATTTCTTTAGAGTTTTTGCCTTACATAATGGTGGTGTGTGGCAGCTATAGGCTAGTCCTCTCGGGGCTACATGGCGGTCAGGTCTAAAATACACTACTAGACAATACTATTACTACCACTACAACTACAGTACTATTAATAATAAATATAAGTTTTCATATCTAAAAATAAAACAATGACATAACACTTTGATAAAATTCGTGTAAACTTCATCACAGCGTAATTTTCTGTAGAAATTATGTCCACCGTCAAAAAGTTACAATAATTTCATAATTTTCAGGTTCGATGAATGTAGTAGTATCTAGAATGACGTACGGTATCACAAACTGACACTCAGCCGCAAAATCATGTAGGGGACGCCCCCCCCCACACACACACTTCGGTTCTGCTGTAGTGGATTTCTCCCCTACAAACGCTGTTTGTCTCTGCGTAGCCGACCCCACGAATTCCCCAGTGTATGCCTCGTGGTCAACTACTAAGCCACGCCTACCCCCCCCGCTATTTAAGACCTGACCCCGTGGTGATCTCTCTCTTTCTACCTACACCAACCAGCCAGCAACACCTCCTCCTCAGCGTGCCTGGTGGCCCTCGCTCCCGCCGGCGAGCATGGCGACCCACAAGCTGGTCCTCCTCTGAGCATCCTCACCAACCAGCTCTCTCTACATCACGCTTGTAACCATGCTGCCTTCCCAGCACCAAGCTGCATTGTACACCCAATACAACATGTATACAGAGAGCACATTGTGAGTTTCCTTTCTCCATCCTATCCTGAGTGTGAACCAAATACAACGTACCCCCACAAATGGTGACCCCGGAGTGACGCACTCACACAGGATGGAGGAGAAACCGATCACTCTCCCAGTCTTCAAGCAACATGGAAGACTGGCTTATCCACCCAGAAGCAGCTCTCATCGGCTCTACAGCTACTGTCTCTACACCGCAGGTTAGACACCCTAGAGCAGCTCTGCTACTCGAAGCAGACAGCCGCTCCTCTTCCTGCCCCAAGCACCACGTCCTACCGACCCCAACACACCCGTCCTGCCTCAGACGCCGCCCCCGGCCCAGCAGTACCCCCTGCCGCTCATCCTGATGCGGCCCCTGCTCCTGACGCGGACCCACAAACCCCTCTTTTCTCCCTCTTTTTTTTTTAATCTCAATTTCGTTATTCCATGTAGTTCATGTTTAATCAATATATGTTTGTGGAATTCTAAATATATTATTAGCAACACAAACAATAGCAATCATTAGAAATATACGGTTCATAGGAAAACCAGGTATTCATGAATTTCAAGGAGTAGCTAGCCTAATTTCTATCACGCTTCTTGCTGAACATAGTTTTACGTGATGGAATAGATAAACATGAATTTTAAAGAATGAAAATAAAAATAATCCAAATGAAGAAACAAATAAATAAAATATTGTAATATGTGGAGGCCCCCAGATTGTGGAGGCCCCTGGGCAGCTGCCCACTTTGCCCACTCCTGAATCCGGCCCTGCCACTACAAGTGAAAGACAGATCAGGGAGGTGTTTGTAGGGTAGTATTATGAATGCTAGTCAGTTACACGAGATGCCATTGCAGACAATAATAAAAAATGCTGCATGTGACCTTGGAGTTGGACTTGATTTCAATACAGTAATTGTGTTGGCCAAGGATATGATGGGGCAGGAAATATGGCGAGACCTTGCAAAGGTGCTGCTGCAAGGATCAAGGCAGATTATCCCTTGCCAAATGCATCCACTGTGCAGCTCATAAGCTGAACTTATGCTTAGTAAGTACTTGCAGTCAACAAAGTATTAGAAACACAATGGACACCTTGGGGGAACTTGCAAGGTTTTTCAGCTTCTCACCAAAGCGCCAGAACCTTCTTGGAGATAAAGTGCGAGAGTTCTGCCCAAGATCTAAGAGAGAAAAGTTGCTAGACATCTGTGACACGAGGTGGATAGGCTGTAGTGGATTCCACCCCTACAAACGCCGTGTGTCGCTGATTGGCCGACCCCCCGCGAATCTACCAGCGTATCCCTCGTGGTCAAGGTCGGGTAACCAGCGACGCTGAACAAAGCGGGGCCTACCATCAAGCCACGCCTACCCCCTCTATATAAGACCCCACCTGGCCGTCATCGCTCTCTTTCTACTTACCGCCACCAGCAAGCAACATCTCTCAACAGCTCCACACCACACGCTCCCTCAGAAAGCTCCTCGCCCTACAGGAACTCTGAGCAAGCTTCGCCCGACCTAGTATCTCTTTAACACTGTGCTGTGCAACAATATATATAACGGGAAACACATTGTGACTTTCTATTCTACCTCAATCCTGAGTGTTGGATATATTACATGTACGTACATTGTGAGGCCAAATAAGAGACCTTGACAACCTGCCACAACAGTACGCCACAATTGGTGACCCCTGGAGCCGTGAACACCACACTCCTTTCTGCTGCCTTACTCCTGGAGCTGAGAAGATCGTCCTGCCTGCTGCCAGCCTAGGCCAACCGCCTTACCCGCACCACGTGCTACCCCACTACGACACCAACCGCACCACGAGCTACCCCACTACGACACCATCTCACGACCGTGTGATACACTTCCGCAAGAATGGACGGACGGATCTCTCTACCGACTTTCAACCACAATGTCGAGGACTGGTTAGATTATGTGGAAGCACTCCTTATCGGCTCACAAGCTACTGACGAGCAAAAGTCCGGCGCCCTGCTCTCTTCCTTGCCCACGGAAGTCGCCACGCATGTATCCCGGACTATTTCCAACCCTCCAGAGAACAACAAATTCGCCACCCTGTGGGACGCCTTAAAAACGCATTACCAATGGACCCGCCCCAATCTCCTGCAGAACCTATCGTCTATCTCCCTTGGAAACTCAACTCCGGGACTTCTCTGGGAGGAAATGTGTAGGCGGAACTCCTGGCACACAGACAGACTTCCAGACTCTATCCTCCGCCAGCTTCACGCACAAAAGCTCCCCACACAAGTACGTACCAACCTGTTCGCAGTAGATTACTCGACGACACCTGAACTCTACGCAACTGCGGCAGACAGAATATTTAACGAGTGCGCAGCTGCGTGCCTGGCGGCCGCGGACAACCCAACGACCACACCATTGCCTACCTCCGAACTTGTAAGCCGGGTCAACACCCCTCAGCCGAGCAATACCTCACAAGACATCAGGGACCTGTTGCAAACCTTGAGCCGCAGTATGAACACCATTGAACAGTTCTGCTCCTCCATGCCTGCCTCTAGACCTGTTCCTAACACACGAACCGCGCCCTACACTCCCCGACGCGCCCGTCCTGCCCCGGAAACCGCCGCCAGCCCCCAGCACAACAAATATACACTCTGCTGGTATCACCGGCGTTTTGGCCCCAATGCTCAACGCTGTGAGCCCCACTGCACCTACTCGGGAAATGGCAACAACGGAGGTTGGTAGACGCCTCAGCCTCCGTCCCTTCAGGCGTCTCACTACTGCACGTCACCAATCGCACCTCCGGCACGAAATTCCTCGTCGACACAGGTTCATCGGTCAGTATCATCCCTCCCTCACGACAAGACACGTCAAGGCAACCCTCTTATGACCTGTTTGCCACCAACGGTACCCCCATCGCTTCCTACGGCGCACGCACCCTCACCTTAGACCTCGGTTTCCCCAAGACTTGCGCTGGCCATTCGTAGTCGCAGACATGTCTCAACCCATCCTTAGTTTCGACTTCCTCACCTTTCACAAGCTCGGAGTCGACCCAAGCCACCTTCGCCTCATCCATGAGCCTACAGCACGCAAGATCCAGGGTTCACGTGCCAAAGACACTGACACTCACCTGTCTTTCACCGTCCAACGAGTTCTCCCCCCTGCTCGAAGAGTTAAAGGAACTTTTCTCACCCCGAGTCTCTCCACCCCCACCACCTACGTCGGGAATTTTCCACCACATCGAGACCAAAGGACCTCCAGTCTTCTCACGCCCCCGCCGCCTGCGCCCTGAGCTTCTGAACGCAGCCAAGGCGGAATTCAACAGACTACTGCAAGACGGCATCATTCGTCCTTCAAATAGTCCTTGGGCATCGCCTCTTCACATGGTTCTTAAGCCACCATCCGGTTACTGGAGGGTGTGTGGCGACTACAGAGCCCTGAACCTCGTCACCAAACCCGACAGGTACCCTATTCCGCATGTCCAGGACTTCCACCACAAACTTCATGGCAAGACAATCTTCTCAAAGATCGACTTGGAGCGTGCCTTTCACCAGATCCCCGTAGCACCTGCAGATACCCAGAAGACAGCCATCACCACTCCATTCGGACTCTTCGAGTACACTTTCATGCAGCACAGACTTTCCAGAGGTACATGGACCATATGCTTCGCGACCTCGATTTTGTCACCGTCTACATAGATGACATCCTCGTTGCATCTTCGACGCCTGCCGAGCATCATCACCACTTACAACTCCTCCTCCAACGCCTGCAGAACAACAATATGAAAGTTCACCCTGCTAAGTGCGTCTTCGGAGCCCCATCCATTGATTTCCTCGGTCACAGAGTCTCGCCTAGTGGCATCCAACCCCTACCACAGAAGATAACCGCCATCAGGGAGCCCCCCAAACCTGAAACGGCGAAGAGACTCCGAGAATTCCTGGGTTTAGTCAACTGATACCACCGCTTCATTGCCAACGCTGCCACCGTCCTAGTTCCCCTCTATGACCTTCTCAAGGGACTCCCAAAGAAGTCTCACAAGCCTCTCGTGTGGACTCGAGAGGCTGTTACGGCATTCACCGCTATCAAACAGCAGAGCACACGCCTTACCCTCCTAGCCCACCCCGCACCTAATGCCCGGACCACTCTCACAACAGACGCTTTTTCTACTGCAGTGGGCGCCGTCTTACAGCAGGAGATCA